TTGGCCAGGGCCTGCAACAGACAGTTAAGAGCTTTCAGTCTTATTCTTTACACTGCGCTGACACGTTTTCTTCAGCCTTTCCTGGACCAAGGCACAGGACTACAGTCAACACAAACACAAAACTGATACGAAGTGTGTAAACTGGGCCTGTATTTGGTTGCTGTTTTATGGTGCGGATTACTGAATTTCCTCTCATGTCGGGAAAATTGCCCAAGGTAACCCAACAGAGCAGTAATGGGCAGATTTTCAAAATTTTTGAACTCTTTGAACACAGCTCCACAAGTTGGCTGACCTCCCCTTCCAAGAAATAAAACAATTTGCCAGAGCGTAGCTTCCTACTTAACAAGCATCTTGGTTGTTTCAAATGCCCAAACTTAAAAGCCACTAAATTCAATTTCTGCAGAACGTAACTAGAACACCTAAAGGATTTGATCGATTGACATGGTTAAAGTCCCTGTTAGAAACCAGAGACTGATATACAAAATTCAAGAGGGACAGTGGCGATAGTATTAGCAGGACTTCCCCAAATCTTACCTTTGCAAACAAGCCAGGCCAGAAAGGTTCAACATTGACACCAGCTGCTTTAATGAGGGCATTGATCTTATCCTCCTGGAACACAAACGCAGTCCATCAGGGCGATCAGAATACGGTTAAGACCAAGTCACAGAAGTCGCTTTTATACGGCCACACTGCCAGTCTGAGCTTCTAAGGACAGCTCATAAACGTTTATCATAAAAACATCGGCTAGGTTTGAAAGCTTGGAGGCTAGTGCGATTGCCCCTTAGGCCTAATGACTGAGTAGGATTCCTAAAAGCCAGTGTTAAGACAACCTACTCACAACTGATTTCTGACAACCACACGCGCACTCGAGAAAGCCTTTCACGGCTGCTGGAAGGCGCGGGTAAAACAGAGCGCATGCGCGCCAAAAGCCAGGAAGCCTAGGAACCGAATATCCGAGAAAGCGACGAGTCGGGCAGCCGACTGCCCGGTGCCCGCCCAACACACGTGGCCGCCCCGCAGTTACCCAAGCCGCGCACTCACCGTGACCGTCACCTCGTCGTCGTGGAGGATGAGGGCGGAGTAGATGCAGGCGAGCTCAGAGACGGAGGCCATGTTGCGGACTGCCGGCACGGTGCTAGTCGCCGGATGAAGTGAGGGCCTCACCCCAACGCGGCCTTAGCTTCCTCGGAAGAACCGAGCACCTTGGCGGCAGCAGAGGAAAAGGTCACACACGCCTGCGCGCAGCCTCTTATCGGGGTCGCGTCGACCAATCGAATCCCGGCTCCGAGCGGAAGAGGCTGAGCCAAAAAAACGAGAGGCGGTGTCTGCATGACGCAGTTCCGGATTTGGGCGTTCGGCTTCCGGTTTTGCCGGCCTGTGGCGGCTTGCGAGTATCAGAAGTGCTGAACTACGGTTTAACAGCTAACCGGAAAGTTTTCTGGGGTGAGCGCCCTGGTCCGGTCCCCTGCTCGAACTTGCAGGAGCGTCCCCGTGGCTTGGGCACACTGAAAAAGTCACTAGCTGACGATCACGTGGCTGGCCCTACCCCCACCTTGCCACCCTCGCGCACGCGCTCGCCCAGCGCGTCTCATAAGTAGGTAAATACCACGAGTGTGTGTGTGGGGTGGTCTCCGGAGTTGTACGTCATCTGCAGTGTATCGAGGTTAAACAGGACAATTCATCCCAAGAAAACTCCAAAGTAATTCATTATATTAAGAAAGCACAGAGGGAGCCGGGCGGTGGTGGCGCACGTCTTTAATCCCAGCACTCGGGAGGCAGAGGCAGGCGGATCTCTGTGAGTTCGAGACCAGCCTGGTCTACAAGAGCTAGTTCCAGGACAGGCTCCAAAACCACATAGAAACCTTGTCTCGAAAAATCAAAAAAAACAAAAAAACAAAAAACAAAAAAAAAACCAAAAAAAAAAAGAAAGCACAGAGGGTGCTGGAGGTGCCTTGGAGGTTAAAGTCATTTTACTGCTCTTCTAGGTGACCCTTCTAGGTGACCCATGTTCGGTTCTGCCATCCCAGAACTCGAATTCCAGTTCCAGGGGATCAGATCTTGGCAGACATAAACAGACAAACTCACATACACATAAAAAGTCAACATTTTTAAAAGTATGCAAAAAAATATGATAATGCAAGGTATGGTAGCCCCCCAAAAAGACAGGAAACCACACGATTAAAATTTGACAACTTATTACATAGACCCTAGAAAACTAGGAGAGTAACTTTCATAATCCGACAAGGGTATTGAGCAGACATTAAAAGCAAATAGCTTGTTTTTTTTGTTGTTGTTCTTGTTCGAAAGAGGGTTTTTCTATATAACAGTCCTAGCTAACCTGGAACTAGCTCTTTTACACCAGGCTGTCCTGGCACTCACAGAGATCTACCTGCCTTTTCCTCTCAAGAGTTCTGGGATTAAACAGTGCGGTGCCACCACCACCACCCGGCCCAAAGCAAATAGGGTTCGAGGCAGGGTTTCTCTGTGGCTTTGGAGCCTGTCCTGGAACTAGCTCTGTAGACCAGGCTGGTCTTGAACTCACAGAGATCCGCCTGCCTCTGCCTCCCGAGTGCTGGGATTAAAGGCGTGCGCCACCATTGCCTGGCCTCCAAAGCAAATATCTTAATAGAAAATACTTTTAAGCATTCTTTGGAAATGGGGAACAAATATGAATGTCTTCCTTTGCTTCTTTTTCAGTGTATGGCGCTTTAGCACAGCAATAGAAATCCCAAGACTGCTCATGCGCACGCGTACACACACACACACCCCTTAAAAAATTAAGGGGGCTGGAGAGATGGCTCAGAGGTTAAGAGCACTGCCTGCTCTTCCAAAGGTCCTAAGTTCAATTCCCAGCAACCACATGGTGGCTCACAACCATCTGTAATGAGGCCTGGTGCCCTCTTCTGGCCTGCAGGCATACACGCAGACAGAATACTGTATACTTAATAAATATTTTTAAAAAATTAAAATACACCTCAAGTTGGGGTACAGCTCAGTTGCAGAGCTCTTGGAAGAGTCTGTGTAAAGGTTTCGGTGTTAAGGACTTGAAATCAGAGCCTCCTGCATACTAGGCAAGTGGTCTACCAAAAAGCCATACCTCCAACATACAATGTTGCTTTAAATTTCATGTAATTCCGATTTCAGCACCACAAACAAGCCATGAAAGTTATCAAACGGAACCTAAGTGGAGCAATATAGTTTTCACAGTTAAGACCCTAAAATGGATAATTCCCCCCAAATTATATAGTTACAAATAAAATTATAATTATGATCTCAATGGGATTTGACAAGCAGGCCTCAAATCTTTAAAACAAAAACACGGGCCAGGCGGTGGTGGCGCACGCCTTTAATCCCAGCACTTGGGAGGCAGAGGCAGGCGGATCTCTGTGAATTCGAGACCAGCCTGGTCTACAAGAGCTAGTTCCAGGACAGGATCCAGAACCATAGAGAAACCCCGTCTCAAAAAACCAAAAAAAAAAAAAACAAAAACAAAAAAACACGGACAGTTCTTGACCTCAAACTTGCTGTGTAGCTGAGGATAACCTGTAGGATCTTCCTGCCCCCACCTGGGACTGATTTTAAGTTTGTACCACTACAGCCAGTTCGAGGGAGCAAACCCAGTGCCTGGTGTACCTTCTGCAAGCACTCTACCCACTCAGCTACATCTCAGCCCCTTACAGGACCTTACTCTACAACCCAGTCTGGCCTTGAGTTTGTGGTGCTCCTTGTTTCAACCTGCTGAGAGGTGGGATTAGAGGCTTACACCACCACACCTGGCCCTCGAGGAATTTCTAAGTGTCACTGACAATGCAAATGGATGCAAAGACTGGCAGAGAAGTCAGTAAGCACACTTACTTACGCTAGTGCTGTTGGTGGAAAGTAGAGATCCAAGCACCGTGGGTAGGTGCTTCAAAACAAAGCTCTACCAAAGGATGAGAGGGGCTCTGATGGCAGACATGGAATCAACCCTTGGCATCATAAAGGTGCCATTAAAAAGTCATGGGCAGGAAGATCCAAAGATTCAAGTTGCAAAGGATACATAAAAATCCTACACACCCAAAAACTTACTATGTAGTTTTATTGCAAAGGCTCTTGCATTTGAGAAACCAAACTCACAATCGGGAAAGTCTTATTAAACCAATGGGATCCTATTTCATGCCTATCAGTTCTGAGAGTTGCAGGTGAGAATGATACACTGGCAAAGGAACAAATTTAGGCAAACCTGGTTAAAGCTGGATGTGCGCACAGCCTACAACTAGCACTTGTAGCCATTGTCTCTGCCCTCAACACTCGAGTATATGCATGAGGAGCCAATTGCAACATTATTCTCTTCAGTGTAAGGAAAACTGCACCCTTGAGGGAATAGGGAGAACGTCATAGAGCATCTTGAGCTGTGTCAGTCAACATGGGGAGTCTCAGAACTGAGTGATGAAGCACACTGAAAAATCCTGCTAAACCTGGCTTCCATCTGAGGCTTTGACTTGAGCACCTTCCTTCTGAGGAATGCTGGAGTCGTAGAGTATAATCAAAGTTGATTTCCAACCACATTAGCCATTAGGAGCTAAGAAGTGTTCAGCAAAGAATGCATTAGGATAGGACAAAGAGCACAGTAGTTTTGATGTTGGACTTAATAAGCAGACTTTGGGGGCCATGAGCAATATCTTAGCCTGTTTCATACCCCATAAAGGCAACATTTATTCACAGCCAAGTTTCTATTCTCTAGTGCTCTTTTCTTGTATCCCACTAATACTAAGTACCAGATAAACAGAACACTGCAGGTGCTTGGGAGCATGCTGAGAGAATGTCCACTACACAGCTTTGTGTTTCTTAGTGCTTTTTTTATTGTATTTCATTTGCATATATAAAAACAGAAAGTGAATATATACATACAGGATTCTAAAAACCTTCCTAAAATGGATTGTTATCATTGGCCAGTTACTATCTTTATTTTAAAAGTCTTAATTGTTAAATATGTCTAAAGTGCATTTTTTTGGTGGCTAATCAATAGCAGCATTTTTGTTTTTTTTTTATAAAATCTTAGAAAATATTCAGAACAGTTGAAAAAGTCACAAAAAATACAATATGATCTAGATACATTCTTCTGCAGGATGACTGCAACACCGCACATGGCATAGCTTTGGAGAAATCACCAACACAAACAAAAGTATTCTTCTGCTACCAGAGCTGTCAGGTCAAGGCTTCTTGCGCCTAAAACACAAAAGCAGCATTTAATATTGAATTCTGCACTTAGCGACATTGTCTTTAGGAACATTGAGAAAATTCCTTTTATCAGAAGAAAATTCAAGTCCTTGGAGCAAGCAAGCAAGCAGCTTAGAGAACAGAATAGGAGATAGCTCCCCTGTTCTTAACCTACTACAGCCATCTTCCAAATTGTCAAAGGAACTAACCCAAGTTAAAAAGGTAGAGAGAGGCCGGGCGGTGGTGGCACACGCCTTTAATCCCAGCACTCAGGAGGCAGAGGCAGGCGGATCTCTGAGTTCGAGACCAGCCTGGTCTACAAGAGCTAGTTCCAGGACAGGCTCCAAAGCCACAGAGAAACCCTGTCTCGAAAAACCAAAAAATAAAAAATAAATAAATAAAAGGTAGAGATGTGTAAAGATTGGCTTTATGAAATATGAAAAAAATAGGCCAGCTCCCTCCCCATTGTGGACTTAACCAAAGAGCAAATGGTGTGTGTACTTCCTTCAACACCAGTTCTGGCATTCATCCTTTTTTTTTTTTTTTTTTGACTTTTTTTGACTTTTTTCGAGACAGGGTTTCTCTGTAGCTTTTTTGGTTCCTGTCCTGGAACTAGCTCTTGTAGACCAGGCTGGCCTCGAACTCACAGAGATCCGCCTGCCTCTGCCTCCCGAGTGCTGGGATTAACCTATCTATAGAACATGTATCCCAATCCAAAACCATGACGTCTGTTAGGTAAGAGTGACACACAATGCTGTCATCCCCAGTGTCCGAGTCATCTTGCAGAAGTGCAAAGAAATCAGAGACCTCAGCTGAGAACAAAGCCTTGTCTAAGATTCCAAAGACAGCTAGTATTCAACATTTTTTGTGCATTATATGCGTTGTCATTTTGATAAAGACACACCCCTCTAGGTGCTTTCAGTTCAGCCTCAAAAAGATTTAGAAGTAGCCAAATATGAGCAAAAGCCATCAATCTGCTGACACCTCCTCCAGTAGAGCTACAGCACTCTGGAGAGCTTGACACTACAAAGGCCAGCCATAAATTGTCAGCAGGGCCCAGGTAAAAGCAGAGAGTAAGGTACAGCTGGAGGAGCAGAGGTGATAGAAAGCCTGGGAGAGGGAGGACACAGGGCTGGCTGTAGTGCTCACTTGGGTTGTGCATGGTGCTGATATCCGGGTCCCAGCTGAGATCCTGCTCTCATCTCAACAGCAACGGAACACTAGAGACAGATGACAGAAGAGGAAAAGGTCAGCTTCCGACGATCCAGAAGCACACATCCACATTTAGATGGGCTCTACTGCGATGAAATCCAACACTGCTCTAGTTCAGCGAAGACACCTAGATTAAACCACTAGTCACACACTTAGGATCCACTTCTGCGCAGGCAACAAAAGCAAGAAGGACCTGGGAGAGTACCCAGGTACTTTTTTAGATAAGGAAGGAGAGGAGTCCTGAAGAAGCTGGTTCTTTCCCTAGGAGTCTTTCCTCATTGGTAATAGTCATAAGGAGCATTGGGTGCTGCTGCGGATTTGTCCATCTGCTATGATTTTCGTTACTCGGAGCAACACACTCTTGACTCCCATATACCTTAGCACACATGCACACAGAGGACCTCTAGTAAAGACCAGATCTAAAGAAATGCAAGTGCCACACCAGAATGTTAGTTATAGGCTTCCAGGCTGCACAGGCAGTATGTGGTCCTGCCTCAGCAACTTCAGCGAACACTAAGTTCTATAGTGTTACAGCTAATTTTAGCAAGCAAGTATTTAATTTCACCCCTACCCTTGTTTCTACATCGGTCCATTCAGACTCTGTACCATCTGGTTGGGCAGGTGCTATTGTAGACGATCTTCGCTTTCGACTACTGAAAAAGGGGAAACATGATGCAACAATCATTTTTGCATCTAAGAAGAATGGAAAACATTAGAGGGAGGAGAAACCAACTATACCCCTGGGAGAATTAATGATAAACCTCATAGGATATTCTGTTCCTAAGAACAAGAGGCTAAGAAACAGACTTTTAGAGAGATATTTGTGACCAACACTCACCCAGTAGGCGACTCTTGCTTTAAAGTCTCAATATCAGTAAACTGAACAGATTGCCCTCCACCTCTGGTTTTATAAACATCACCCTAAATCCAAGAGAAAAGGTCACTGTTATACTTTGATAAATCCAAATGATAGGCAAGCATATCTAAAACTCACCCATAAACCCAAAAGACCCTTGGGCTGCTGAATCTACTGATAAAACACTTCAGAAACTTCAGTTCACCTTCACTAACAAGAGTCCAGTACAAGATAATCAGTAACATTCCTAGCTATGGAGAAAATAGTTTATTGCACCTATAAATTTCAAAACTAAATTAACCTAGCAGAGACAGCTCCAGGGTGCTGTTGTCTGCCTGGTGGCAGTAGTCTTAATTGTAACTGTCCTTTCGACTTGAAATGACTCTCCACCCCCGTCACTGTCATCTCCCCCACACTTTTCCCACTGGCCATAAGACCAAAAGTCTTCTATAGACAGGAAAGTCTCTTCTTTACAAGAAAGATTTTGGGTAGTTCACCGCTGAGTAACATTCCCAATCAAATTCCCTGTGTTATTTACTTTGAAACTCTTAACTGAGATCCTCCTGCAAGTGCTACCATGCCTGACCACAGGACAAGTTTTGTTTGTTGGGTTTTTCTTTGTTTGTTTGTTTTTGGCGGTAGAGGAGAGTTGTCTGAGTTGCCCTGGCTGTCCTGGAACACACTCTGTAGATCAAGCTGGCCTTGAACTCACTTAGAACCAATTACCTCTGCCTCCTAAGTACTGGGATTAAAGGCAAGCGCCACCACTGCCCAGCACAGGACAAGTTTTAAAGCAAACATTTTATCTTGACATAACGGCAAAATAGGAGATGGTTGTTAGGTTTCCTTTCTGTTGCTGTCTGGTCCTTCAAGACAACTACATGCTCCAGGATGAGCTCAAACTGGTGACCTCCCCCTACCATGGCCTCCCAAGTACCAGGGTTCCAACAAGTTGCCCATATGGCTCTGGGTTTACTTTTGAAACTATGTTTTAGCTAAATGTGATGTAACTAAAGTACATCATAGATCTGGAGTACTAAGAACCCCAAGACTCTAGGCCTATTTAAGCAGATCCAGCCCCAACAGATTCACAACCTCAGCATTACATTAATTTTCTACTAAACAAAAGTTCCACCCAACACCCCATTTAAGTCCTAGATCTCATCAAAGGATAGCAGGGCAAATATTTCTCACTGGTAGTCTTTTGTGAAGACTTGTTTTTACCTTAATTACTTTAGTCTGAATCTCCCCATCGGAGGCTAGTTCCTGGTGGGTCAGCATGTACTTCTCACACTTAGCTAGTGCCTTTTCATTTGCAACAGACACTGTGATGGCGTTAGGGACATGTGGCTGCATGACTGTCTCAGTTTGCACATTAGAGGCAGGCTTATGATCTACCCATCTGCTCCCTGCAGAGCGGGACCTTCTGTGTCGTACAGGAATTGGTGTGTTCTGATCAGGTTGAAAGAGGAATTGAGAAACAAGCACAACCCAAGATTACTTTGAGGAACTGTTAGAAGTGCAGCAGTTTACATACAAATTCACAACAACAGAAATCAGACCTGTCCAAGCTAAGCATGTAAGTCATTTAATGTTCTCTTACCAAACTGAACCAACAGGCATCTTTAGACAACAGTGTATAGAGAGTATAGTCATATGGGAGCTTCCGTTTCAACAAAGAGCAAAAGACAGAATTGTGGTGACTCCAGATATTGTTTATGGCAAGTTCAGGAGAAATAATCCATTTTGCATTCTTGACCAAAAACCAATTATTATGCCTGCTTTGTGAAGTAATACACAGATTAACAGGTCTGTGTTGCAGGTTATCGGCAGGAGCAATAACACGTAAGTTGTGTCTAGTCATCTAATAGAAAACATTCCTCCATATACGGCCAGACCAAAAAACTGCAAGCTGTTGAAGTTCTCGCTTAGCAAAACCCTGAAGAACACAGGAATACAGAAATTCAAGTGCAGCACGCCTGAACAGTGCTAAGTACTTCTAGGCACGTGCAGTAAAGATTTTTATACCTCAAAACAGAATTCCACAAAATCTTCGACTATACCAACATTTTCTCCAAAAGTTTCAAGAATCAAAAGACTATGCTATTAAATCAGCTTGTATCATAAAAATTAGTTGTTTTCCAGTCAAATGACATGTGTGCCAAGTTAAACAGCACATTCAACTTAAGAAAATGTATTTCATATACATGATATGGTAGCTTAAGCAACTGTGGGCGACTCCTGTTCATAAAACTGAAAACAAATGAGAGTCCGCAGTCAGAGCCCTTCCGACCCAGCCAAATGAGGATTGTGATTCAGTTGTTCAGTTACAGGAAACCAGCTCAGGGACAGCCCTAACAACAACTCTACAACAGTCACCACAACTTGCCAGGAAAGATACTAAGCTTCCATGCAGGCAGAAAACCTTTACTCTAAAAATGGTCTGATGGTGAATAAGAAAACCTATCTCTTAGGATCTAGCATTTAGCAGAAGTGCTTCCTTGAACACATTTGCAGTATAATACATTGAAATCAAACTTTGGAAAGGGGACAGAATGCAGAGAATCTGCTAGTAGTCATGACTTAAGTATTTTGAAATTCTTTCCTCACCAAAATGTGAAATTCGGTCTGCCTGATAATTTCTGGTCAATGAACATGGATAGAGATACTAACCTCATGGAAACTTTTCTGCTGCACTTCTAAAGAGATTTGGATTTCAAGAAAGAAGTTAAAGTCTGTCTCTTAGTTTATTCCCCTGACTGTTGCATGGCCAAGTCAAGCATTCCCTTATTGCTAGCAGGTATAAACAGACCTCCCAGCAGGCTGGAGTCAGACACAGAAGAGGAGGATTTACTAGAGGTGATCACAGAGACCATTCACCATGATTTGCACCCTAAAAGGCTCAAAGTAAAATTTGCAAAGCAGGAACTTGAGACAATAGAATTATCTGTTGCCTTGTAAGAACCCCAAAACTGGTCACCATCATTAGTAATCAGATTGCAGGGCTTTACCTACATTCTAAATGATGTGAGAGGATCTTTTTGGTTTGTGAGACAGGGTTTCTCTATGTAACAGCCCTGGCTGTCCTGGAACTCACTCTGTAGACCAGGCTGGCCTCGAACTCACAGAGATCTGCCTGCCTCTGCCTCCTGAGTGCTGGGATTAATGGTGTGCGCCACCACCACCTGGCATGTAAGAGGATCTTAAAGTATTTACTACAAGACCTTTCACTTAGAATAATAATTTTAAAAGTAGTTAAGATTTTATTGAATATCTAATTCATAGCATTTGTGTGATTATTCAAATTCAAAGGAAATTTTATCTAATATTGAAGAAAACATAAATTTGGTTTAGTCACCCTTGAAGGCTTTGTAAAGCTTCAAGATTAAAACTTCAAGATGTAAAAGTTGTCAGTTTCAAATAGTTCAGGTCACAAAAATCAAAAAGGAGGAAGCATATTTTGTTATATATGAAAGAGATGAAAGATTTGTGATTGCCACATGTAGTGCATGCATCTGGCAGCAGCCTGGGTTGACAGGAAAGGCCATCATGAGGGCAGGTAGCAGTGAGGGGCTCTCCACACAGAAAATGCTGTCTTCAAAGTGGCAAAGACGGTGGCTACACAGGAAAATGTTTGAGTGTCACAGCATATGTGACTTATTTTGGAGTGTCTCATAAGAGAAAGGACTTGCACAAAATAGCAACTCTGCTGATGGTGGAGGCACGAGAGTATCCAACCTATTAATCAAACCAAAAACAAAAACAAAAAAAAAAACTTTCTTCCTGCCCAAAACAGCATGAAAAAAAATTTGGGGAAGAGGAATCAAACGGGGGAAAAAAAAAAGTGTAGTTTTATATATTCATATTTGGGTTGGGGGATTATGGCTCGGTGATAGAGCCATTGCTTAGCATCTTAGCATGTTGAAACCTTAGGCTATATCCCCAGCAAATGTGGAAGCAGTGGGGAAGTAGGGGCAGAAAAAATAAGAGTGAGGAATCAAGGAAGCAAGACACTCATGTTCCTAGATTCTTTGCAAAACCCCTTGTTCAGGTGAGCAGTCTCCATTAGGGGCACCATTCTGGCTGACATTCAGAGCTCATAGGCACATGCTTCTGCTTTCTCACACGAAGAGCTCAGTCTTAATTTCAGGTGGCTCAGTCTTTTACAGAAAAGTCAGAGCTTCTTCATTTTGGAGCCTATCCAGCTTTCCGTCAAACTCTGAAACCAAGTTACAAAGAGCAAAGACGATAAGTCTATCACTACAGTGCTTTAAAGAATGCTGGCACAAACCCTGCGGCAACGGTCCTCTTCTACGCCTATCTCACTGTTGAATGTAGGGACCATCTCCCTGCCTTCCGTCCAGTACATCCCTCGCCTTCTGTCTGACACGATACACGTTTTACTTTGTCCTGGCTCCTGCTGCCTATGCCTTGCAAGAGAGGTGACATTGACAGGTGTGCTGAACGGAGATAGTTTCTGCTCCCATTCCGAAATACAGGAAGCTACAGAAATGCTGCTGCAAGAGTTAGAGCGCCTGTGTAGCTGTGGCTGGCTCATGAGTTGCTGGCCGGTGGAAATCTGAGCAATATTGTTACTAGAAAGCTAGAAAAATTGGAGAAAAATTAATGAATAAGACTGAAAAACGGAGAGGAACAATATTACTTTTCTACAATTTCACTACATGAAGATTTAACATTGTAAGAAACTAAAGGCATTAAATTTTTGTGATATGCTTTTGTTGTTTTTGAGACAGGAACTCACTATGTAACCCTGGTTGGTCTGGAACTCTGTGTAGACCAAACTCACAGAGATCTGCCTGACTCAATCTCCCTCCCAAATGCTGGGATTAAAGGCATGTGCCCTTTTGTGCTAAGTTTTAAGAGCAGAAGCTTAAAATATAACATGAAACAGAAACACTCCTCTAAATGGGGGAAAAAAAAATTTCTCTGGCACTAATCTATATACAGTGGCAAACACTTACAGGCACAGGCGAAGGAGAGACGGATCTAGGAAGGATCCTTTCCCGGTCCCGCTCCCGGGAAGGTCTCTCTGGCTTCTCGGGTTTAGGTTCAGTCACAATAGCCTTTAGCTGTTTGAGCTTTTCATCTTTGACCCAGAGTTTATTCTGCATCTCCAGCTGGGTGGCTGCCACCCGACGCTCCTACGGAGATCAATGGCAAATTATAGTCTGCTTTATCCCTCTACACAAGCACACCACATCACCAACTTTACTCCTGGAAAATGACAGTTCTGTACATCTTCTGGAGATTAACAAATACCAAAGCTCTGCCACAGCACAGAAATGCACAATATTTAACCTAAGAAGAACACTCACACATTCCTTCTGCCATTTCATCGATGTTTCTGTCACCATGCCTTGCAACCTGGCTTCTAATCTGCGCTTGTCAGAAAACTGCCGCTGAAGCTTCTGATTCTGGCTCTCGAGCTCCTGCTGCAGATTGCGCTTATCTTCTTCATAGATAGTGGTTGTTTTCTCCAAAACCTCAATCTGCAAAGGGGACCACTGTGCTTAGCATCTGCTGTGCAAGCATCTCACCTCACTATACAATAAAATAGTTCAATTGCTCATAAAAGCAAACTTGTGGAAACACACACACACGGAGAGAGAGAGATCACTTTTGCCCTCACTATTTCACCTGAATCCTCATTTCTACTCCAGTTCAGAAAGAAGTTGCTCAAAAGACCCTTGCAAGCCAGGTGCCTACATCTCCTCAAGCTAAGCTCCACTCACTCCGAACAGTAGAAACTGACATCTCTTCCTCACTTCATGCCCTTCACAGGGACAGGCACATGAGCTGTTCTAAGAAGTAACGAATGGCCGGTACATAGGTGAAAGTGTGACCACAAACCTTGTACTCCAAAGTTTTGTTTTTCTTCTCCAGTCGTTCTATTTCCGATTTCTGCCCTGAAATCAATTTTTCTTTTTCATTTAGTTTTTCCTGGATGTAGTTTTCTTTATTTAGAAGAGAACTGTCAAATTCTTTTAATAAGGCTTTGAAGTTCATACCTGAAACAAAGTATATTGTGCTGTTTAGTGCAGATACAAAACAAAACCAACTTTCATCGGCAGATACTCAGTAGAATGTAGCACTCCAGCAAATCCCCCCATGGCAAATGTACATAAGAAAGGCTGGGAATGCAGCGGCCTGTATGTGTCTGTTTTGTATATGCATGAGGCCCTGGGTTTGATACAAAAAGTGAAAAAAGATTAAAAACAAGTTTGGAATGAAGCCAGGAATTTGATTCTCAAATCTATTAAGAGAAGTTTATATAAATATTTTGTAACCTCCCCCTAACACTTAAAGTTTGCTTACAGATGTAAAAACAGTAATAATCCTGTGTTTGAGAATAGCTGAGCCTGGGCTGAAGACCCTGGCACCCTACTTTGTCACTCACAGAGAGAGTCACTGCCATGGACCAGATTTGTTCAATTGCTCTACACATTTCCAAACATTATTCACTTTCCCCTATACCACTGATGTACAAATATTACAGAATGTAAATAACTTGCAAACAGGGAAAAATTATAAAATACCATTTTGTGTCCATCACTATTAAAAATAAAATAAATGGAGAGACACCCACTTTTTCCTTCTTATACTCTTTAAAAGTAAAACAGATCTGTTGAAAACAAAATCTTGCCATTCAAATTAAACACCTTGAGAGCATTACAAAGTCAAGAAATAAGTCCTCCTTAAAGATGGAGTCACTAAGACCTGTTTCTACCTCTGAAGTCACAGCAGCTAGAAGCAGCTCTACCCTTACATTGTTTGTTAAGCTCCTCTGTCATTAGTTGACGTAGGTGATGTCGTTTCTCCAAAGCTTCGATCAGCTTTGGAAGGGTCTCCTCATCATTGATATCCAAAAGCTTGGACGGAGGCAGTGGTGGGAAACTCTGCAGAATCACTTCAGTCACCAAAGGTTCTGTATTGAATTTAAAAATTATGAAAGCTTAAGTCTGATGCTGTGAGCAGAACCCCTGAACCAGTAACCACAGAATTTATTTTCCCCCCTCAGCATACTTACTCGGTGCTAGAATTACAGGTATGCTTCACTAAGCCCTACTTTAAGCATAGAATTTCTCAAAAATAAGACAAAACAACCAAGCAAACCTTATATTTTAGTTCAAAGTTTCATTTGGTTCTTGAGAAGGGTGTAAATAGATTTTTTTAAAAGTCTACAGAAAGACAAGCAAATGAATAATAATACAATACAAAATCATACCATCTCCAACTGGGCCACCCCGAGGTAGGTTTCTGTATCGTCTCCCTGGTGTCAAGCCACATATCGCCTTATCTACTGGTCTTGCTACTTCAACTTCTTGAGTTACTTCAGCAAATCTCAAGACTTGCTAAAAATACAAAGCAGAGCCTGGAAAAAGTAAGCCTACCCAAGTCCTTCTTTATGGATGGCTAAATGGTTCATTTGCATATCACTAACCCTGTGTCAATCTATAAAAAGTGCAGTTTGCCATCCCCGACACCACCACCACCACCACCCCCATGGACAGGATTTCTCTGTAGCTTTGAAGCCTGTCCTGGAACTCACTCAGTAGACCAGCAGGCTGGCCTCAAACTCGGAGATCTGCCTATCTCTGCCTCCTGAGTGCTGGGATTAAAGGCTTGCACCACCACCACCCAGCCAGTGTGCCATTCTTCAAGTAGCTGTTTTCCCTAGAGAAACCCAACTGTATAGGAGAAATACCCTTAAATTACCAAGCTTTCTTCATAGTCTTCAGCCTTTGGATTTACACATACAATCATCCGCACCTTCCCTTCCCCATCAAAGTAGTTCTTGAACAGATGAGTTAGTTTTGAATCTCGATATGGAACCATCTATAAAGACATTCGAAAGCTAAGAATATTAAACAAATAAAATGCACAATTAAACCACAAAGCAGTTGGCGAGGACTGCTATGTACCTTATTAGTTCCATATGTCTGGTTCTCTCTCAGGACTTCCATGCATGTTCTTAGTGTCATTAGTGACTGATTAATGTTACCTGAGAGGAAGTCAGATACAGAGGACATTTGAAAACAGTAATTATAATACATCCATTTGTCTATAACACAGCTTCAATTGGCTGCTGGGAAATTATATAGAGAGCTGTCCATGTAATATTCCCACCATACTTTCAACAGTATTAATCTTATTAGCTTTAATAACCATCTTTCAGCAACTCCATTAAAAACTCTCCAAATACAATATTACTCTTCTTAATAAAATAAATAAATCTTAATAAAGAGAATTTATTCTTTGATTCTGAGTGTTTTGCCTGCATATATGTAAATATACTTCATGTACTTGGTGCTCACAAAGGCCAGAAGAGGGCATAAGATCCCCTGGAACCAGAGTTACATATAGTAGTGAACTGTCATGTGGATATTAAAAAGTGAACCCAGGTCATCTAGAAGAGGAACAAGTACTTTTTAGCTTTCTGATTTTTCGAGACAAGGTTTCTCTGTGTCCTAGAACTTGCTTTGTATACCAGGCTGACCTCAAACTCACAGATATCCACCTGCCTCTGCCTCTGCCTCCAGGTGCTGGGATTAGAGGTGCATGCCACCACACCTGTCCAACAGTGAAGTTCAACTGCTGATCCATCTCTCTAGCCTGGGAATACAACATGACACTAAATTTTCTGGCGGTGAAGAACGGCCTGCATAGGTTCATGTTTGACTGCTTCATCTCCAATTGGTGTAACTATTTGGGAAGGAATGGGAGGTGTGGCCTTGCTGGAAGTGTTTCACTAGGGGTGGCCTTAAGGTCTCAAAAGCATAAGCCATTCCCAGTGCCTCTCTCTTTCTACCTCATGGTCGTGAGCCATCTGACCACAGCTGCTCTAGAGTTAGTGCTCAGCTACTGCTCCAGCACCACACCTCCTGGTGCCTTTCTCCCTGCCGTCATGGTCGTGGACTAATCCACAAAAACTGTAAGCAAGCCACCAACTAAGTGTTTCCTTCGATAAACTGCCTTGGTCGTGGTGTCTCTTCAGATCAATAGGACAGTTAAGTTTTTTCCAAACCCTAAATTATGGCATGAATAGACAATCTCATTAATTTGGCTTGTTTCCTTTCTTTTTTTTAAGGGATGGTGATGCTGAAGACTGAACTCATACATGGGAGGCCAGCCATATCCCAAGTAACCATTTCAGACTACAGTGAGAAAGGGACAGAAGTCCCTCCTACACCTAGAAGTGACATGTTTCTAACAGTCAAATGTCTTAGGTGCCAACAAACTCTGTCCCTCTACATCTCAACAGAATTTCTTAGTCATCTTGCTTTTTTTCCCCCTGATGTCCCTGATGTATCTCATTTGGGTTCTGAGCCAGGACAAGGCTAATATATTAATCACGCCTCTAAAAATTCAGGTCTCAATTGGACTTCCAAATGTTTAAGAACTGTTCATCGTAGAACATTGACTAAGACCTCTAACTCCATCATGCGTATCAGATATATCATTTAGCTAGATATGATGATATACTCCTGTAATCCTAGCACTCAGAAGACTGAGGCAGGATAACCACAAGGACCTGCAAGTGTTACCTTCTGACATTTATTGCACACTGAGGTACACACACATGCCAGAAAAAAAACCAATTTAAAGGCTAAGTTTAATAGTCAATGTTATTTCACGGATTAAGCAGAAACCATCCATTGCTAAATACAAACTGTCATTCCAAGATGTTAAAGGTTACAGCCTTAAGTAAGTACAGCACTGCACTCACCAGCTTCACGTAATCTGTTCCCTTCTGCTTTAGTGCGGTTGGTTCTTTCACTTCCAGCAAGATCTACCAGAGACAACTGGCTTATGGTAATTTGTTCTTTTTCCTGCAAGGGATAAAGTCAACAATCTATACTGCACTACAATGTTCTTTAAGATCCAGTTAACATGGTATTGAGTCGTACTGGACACTGTGTGTGCACAATACAAACACCCAGAATAGCAGAGGATGCACAGGTGAATTTTATTTAATTAAATACATCTTTATATCATTAAACAAATGTTCCAAGAGTAACACACTTAAAATAATATTTTACAACAAATCCCCAAGTCTGGGGTCAGCTTTGTCTGTATAGAGAGACAAAAAACAAACAAAAGAGGCCATGGTTTTGAAAACTAGCAAGGAGAAGTATGGGAAAGGCTTGGGAAAAGAAAAGGGAAGAGAGAAACGATATAATTACAATTATAATGTCAGAAATAAAAGAGAAAACAAACAAATGTTCAGAGTCATCCCAGGCTCAGGAGACCCTGTTCCTAAAATGACACAACACATCCACACAGAGTCTGAAAGCTTTGCAAAGCCTCTTCACAACACAGCAAACTGCACCTGCCACACATGCTATGTGTGGATCTAGGATCCACTAGGATCTATGTCATGGTTATACAGGGACTAACTCTTGAGCAACCCGCATCACCAAGGCAGCCCCTAATTTAGGCCATCTTCCAAAACTTTAGGGCTGAAATAAAGACAAGATTCACATACAAACATACCTGTAAGACATTATCTCCATCAGCATCAAGGGGAGCCTGGACGAGCTTAATGCTGAACACACTATGTGACCGGCTGGATTCTCTATTCAAATGGGTGTTTGCAATACGTCTTTTTTTCTGACCTATGATGACAGAGAAATCATGGATTATACCTGAACTCAGCCATTTATTAAACCTGCTTTCCAATTAATCCAAAGGGACTGCTCTTCAATTACAGCAACAAATCTGAGATTAAGACCATCAGTTCACATTTTTCAAATTCTAGTTGTTTCTTTTTTTTTTTTTTTTGGTTGTTCGAGACAAGGTTTCTCTGTGGTTTTGGAGCCTGTCCTGGAACTAGCTCTTGTAGACCAGGCTGGTCTCGAACTCACAGAGATCCGCCTGCCTCTGCCTCCCGAGTGCTGGGATTAAAGGCGTGCGCCACCACCGCCCGGCCAAATTCTAGTTGTTTCTAACCTCTCCAAAAAACCTCAAAAGCTTCTTCCGTAGATTTCACTTCCACTTCTGTGCATCCTGCAACATACATATTGTGGTTCTTATCTTCTCGGAGTATTTTAGACTGTGGGAGTCTGTGGGGGAGAAATAAATGGTTAGTTTCCTAAATGAGGTACAACTGTCTTCCTGACTAAGGTTAAAGTGCCAAGCAACACAATATCTCCCCTTTCACCTTAACACCAATGACAAAACCCAAGCCTCATGCTTGCTAGCCAAGGGCTCCACCACTGAGCACATCCCCAGCTTTTCTTAAATTTATTGCTTGGTTCTAAAAGCTGGAAAGTCCATGAGTGCAGTGCTGACACCCGGTGAGGGCCTTCTTGTGGTGTTATGATAGAGGTATCACATGGTGAGACAGAACAGTATGCTCCCATGACATCCTTTCTTTAAAGGACAGAAATTTACATAAGATCCCCAAAGAAATGATAGACTTAAAAAACAAGATTATACAGTCAAGATTAGTTGTGAAGCAGAAACCAATGCTGTTTTTAAAGTTTGCTCTAAGCCACCCTAAAAAGCACACGAAACAACAGACAGTTAAGATTACAACAGTACTCTGGCATAGCACTATCATATACAGCACAGGTTACACATCACAATCCAGCACTTCCCTCATTTAAAAGCATATTCAACTGGTTCTGACCTATAAAGCAATGCAGAAAATGAGTTCAGAAGGGACTTAGTATATGCCCAGAGTGGTCATCCCTGAAAAGTGGCTTGGTAAGTTTTAGTTTGCAGTTGGTTAAGGTTAGGTAAGGGTGCTTGCATGTTCTGTTTTAGTTAATTTTTTAAATAATGCTTCCATTTTATATGTATGGGTGTTTTGCTTGTATATAAATATGTGCGTCACATGTGTGCCTAGCACTCAGAGAAACTAGAAGAGGGCATTGGATCTCCTGAAACTGAAGTTACAGACAGTTGTGAGCCACTAGGTGGTTGCTGAGAATCAAACACAGGCTCTCTGGAAGAGCAGCCAGTGCTCTTAACCACTGAGTCATCTCTCCAGACCCATGTTTTAATTTTATTTATCTGGAATTGAATGTGTGGAGGTCAGAGGACAACAAGTCAGTTCTTTCCTTCCGCCATGTGGGCTCCAGGGATGGAACTCAGGTTGTCAGACTTGGCAGCAAGCACCGTTACCTGCTAAGCCATCTCACAGCCCCTTTTGTGAAAGGTAAGGATGAAGACATTTACCAGCTACCATCACTGATAACAAGGGAAGATTTTCTAAAAGAAAGGAGGATTAGAGGTAGCAGCCTGCCCACTGCTAAGGAAAAGCAAACTACTTACAAACATGCCAAATATGCCCCCCACTAGTGTTAACTACACCCTTCTTAAGAAGGGCCAGTGTCAGCACATACACAGACTCTGCGTTCCTCATAGGTGTACTGCAGCCGTTCCACCTAGCGAAGGAATAAGGCAGACATTACTGTTCCAGAGCAGTCATCCTGCGGCAGCATTTCAGTCAGATGAGTGACAGGGACAGAGATTTTAAAACCCTCTACTTGCGAGACTCCTTCACTGTTAAAAACTAATAAAAATTAACCCTTCAGAAAAGGAGAGCTAACACTATCCTCACATTAAATCCACAATCAGCGCAAAACAGGCTCCCTCCGATAGATACTCTAGGAAGGCACTCTGCTTCCTTTGCATGACTAAAACCAGACAGTATCACTTGAAATAATATCACTTGGAACAAGCCAAACAAACTGCAAACAAGAGAGACATAAAAATAATTAGTAGTGTTGGGCATAGTGTGGCATGCCCTTAATCTCAGCACTTGGGAGGCAGAGCCAGGTGGATCTCTGTGAGTTCCAGACCAGCTTGGTCGACATAGTGCGAGACTTAATTTAAAAAAAAAAAAAAAAAAGCTGCCAGGTGGTGGTGAAACACACCTCTAATCCCAGCACTCAGGAGGCAGAGCCAGGTAGATCTCTGCGAGTTTCAGGACAGCCAGGGCTACAGAGAAACCCTGTCTTGAAAAAGCAAAAGAGTTAATTGGCAGCAATAAATAAACAGAAGTTTAGGTAAAACAGGTACACAAAACTGGAATTGCAAAAAGGACAGTTTAAAATGCACATGAACATATTTGCTCAAGTGGGAAAGAAAAGGCATTGCCTCTAAGACAGAACTCTTGCCCCTCTCTCTGTAACCCAACCCAGGTACTTCTTTCTCTTCATTCCAACAGTCCAAAGACAGACAGCTAACTCCAAAAAGAAGCCGCTTGGTACAGTTTGCATTGGAAGCTGGGTTTGGTGGTGCACACTGCTACCCCAGCACTGAGAGGCTGATGGAGAATAACATGCAATTGGAGGCCAGCCTGTGTGGTGCAGTAACTGCCTCAAAAACAAAACAGTTCTCACCTAAAGAACGGCTTAGTAAAGCAAAAGACTTAAGACCTTCAGATTTCATTGACCTACCAACTTTATAGTTATTTTACAAAATCATTAGTAATCCCTTAACTGAAATGAAATTCAGTAAGAAGCATAATATGGCCTCAATCAGAGTCATGAACTTTTCATATTAGTGAACACACTGATATAAGTGGACATAGTTCTGCTCACAGTTTAATGGTTTTCTAAATCTAGTTATTTCCACACATGTTCCTCTACACATCCACACAAATGTTAAGACAAAGGTCTTCATATTATTTATGTTTTAATTGGCTGCAATGAACACAGTATGCAAGACCAGCCTTCAGCTAAAGAACAAAACCACCCACTCAAGAACAGACACAAGATTTGTAAATCTACTCTGGCATAAAGAGAGGTACTTTTGTAAAGCTACAAGATAAACTGGTCTTCAGATTCTATAAGACAAGACCCACAGATGTCTAAGGAGAAGAATTTTACCTCTCAGAATGACAAGGCAATGTGGCTTTACACTAATCTGCAATAGATGAAATAAGAATCACTTGTACAGACAAGGACCCACTCTACAGAGAACACCAAAACACAGACAGCCAAAGAGGCTGCAAAACCTCCAGCTCTGTGAGGGTGTTGAAAGATGCCCCCAATACTGTCTATAAAATCGAGATTTGTTTCAAACCCAAGGCTAAGTTTTCAAAAGCAATTTTCAAGCTGGATCTTCAGGTCACTATGCCTTAACCTGCTGGATTCCTAATACAGCTACAATCCAGTTAAGGTAAAAGTATCCACTGGGCATGACTAAAAACAAATGCTAAGCATTATCCCCACTTATACCCAAAGAAACCAGGGATTGCCGTGTTACCTGAAGAGACTATCTTTATTACTTACTTGGGCTTTATGGGATCAAGCTGAACCTCTTCCAATAGATCATATATGTAATTGTTATAGATTTCAATGTAAGAGACAAAAACACCATAGACACTGTCTTCGTCAATTTCTTCTGCTTTGCAGAATTCTTGTACATTTATCATATCTGCAAATTCTGGATCTGCTTGCCGCCTAAAACAAGAAATAGATCCCTCAAAGTCAGATTTTACCCACTGTGAGTTAATATAAAAAGTAGATACCTGTATCGGCTGGTTTTATGTCAGCTTGACAAGCTGGATGGGGTCTCTGGGAAAGGGGGCTTTCAACTGAGAAGATACCTTGCATGAAGCTGGCCAAAAGGCAAGTCTATCTAGCATTTTCTTGATTAATGAGGTGGGCGGGCCCAGCCCTCTGTAGGTAGTACCAACCCTGGGCAGGTGGTCCTGGGCTGTATAAGAAAGTAGACTAAGGCCAGGCGATGGTGGCGCACACCTTTAATCCCAGCACTCAGGAGGCAGAGGCAGGTGGATCTCTGTGAGTTTGAGGCCAGCCTGGTCTACAAGGGCTAGTTCCAGGACAGGAACCAAAAAAAAAAATAAAAGAAAGTAAACAAGCCATGGGAAGTAAACCAGTTTACAGCATTCTTCCATGACTTCTGCACCAGCTTCTGCTTGAGTTCCTGTCCCGACTTCCCTCAGTATAGACTGTTACTTGGAAGTAAAAGATGAAATAAACCCTTCCCTCCACCAAGCAGCTTCGCTTATGGTATTTTATCACAGCAATAGAAACCTAACTGAATTGCTGGGCGTGGTATACGCCTTTGAGCTTAGCCTGGTTTATACAAAGTTTGTTCCAGGCCAGCCAAGGAAATCCTGTCTCAAAAAAGAAAGAAAAAAAAAATGATACCAGAGTGAAAAAAAACTACTCAAATGTTCTGCCACTTAAAACTGAAATCATAAAGCAACTTTATTCAGATTCAAGGTGGGTCAAGGACAGCCAAGCCCTGAGATTTGTAGCCACGGAGCCACGGCACAGGCACTCACCTTCCCCACCTCACAGAAGGAAGTATCCTCTGGAAATCAGACAAAATACCAGAGCAGTTAAAAACACACCTCAACCCTGACCTCGCAAGTCAACTGTAAAACTAACTTCTCTAATTTGTATTCACCTTCCCCAGATCTACAGAAACTGCAGGACAGAATTCCTCACACTCTGAGTCAGTCCAACACGAAGTTACTCACTTGTTAGAGGGGGTCTTTGGAACGGGCATAGCTTCTCTTTTCTGGCGCTCCAATAACGCATCAACCTCACACTGTATTTCCATGCTGTTCCTATCGTTAGACTTAAAAACCTAAAACAGGGCAGAAAAGACTTTTGAAAAGAATTTTATTTAATTTAAGGAACAGCAACTTTTTTTTTTTTTTTTTTTTTTTTGATTTTCGGGACAGGGTTTCTCCGTAGCTTTTGGTTCCTGTCCTGGAACTAGCTAGAACTAGACCAGGCTGGCCTCGAACTCACAGAGATCCGCCTGCCTCTGCCTCCCGAGTGCTGGGATTAAAGGCGTGTGCCACCACCGCCCGACTTGAACAGCAGCTTTTTTTCGAGACAGGGTTTCTCTGAGTAGCTTTGGAGTCTGACCTGGAACTTGTTCTGTAAACCAGGTTGGCCTTGGGCTAGCCTTGAACTGGCCTTGAACTCACAGAGATGGACCTGCCTCTGCCTCTGGAGTGCTGGGGTTAAAGGCGTGCACCACCACCACCAGCTATGGTACAGCAACAGGTAAAAACAGAAAGCATTTGCCATTTAAACTTTGGAGGACAGGCAGAGTCGCTGGTCTGCAACTCTTGATTCTCTTCCACCGCTCAAGTACTGGCATCATAGGCATACCCACCATGCCCACCACATCCGAACATATGTAAGAATCAAAGCAGCTCCAGTGCTGAGGTTCTTCCTCGGTATCACTGTATCTATAGATGTCTTAGTCCTGTATCTACTGTGACAGTCACAACCCAAGGGAACTGTACTTACGTAACGTTTTGCTTGAAATGACCCTATGCTGTTAAAGATCATATTCAAACAACGAGGAAGCAGTCCTCCATACCCTGGAGACCCTGTCATTGTGTGCGTTTTTCCACTTCCTGTCACACCGTATGTAAACAAAAGACCTACAGTGTAGCAACAACAAGGAGTTACAGTCTTAAGTTCCACATAACATTTCATTGTATTTAAAACACTTAAATTAACCCCAAAACTGGGCATCACTCTAATGAGTAAAATCTGAATTCAATGTCAAACCAAATAAACAGTAAAAAGTTTTATTACAAGATTAAGAGGAAAAATCAACTAAACTCCAAGATCCATACCATTTTTGCCGTGAATGAGGTCATCTACCAATGGACTAGCCACAACATCAAAGAGTTCCTTCTGAGTTGTATGAATGCCAAATACCCGCTTAAATGAATACTGCGTCTGTGGAGAGAAGAAAAAGAATAAACATGGAATTCTACGAGACTAGAAATATATCTGTCCTACGCTTGAATGTTTCTGTTGTGAGTTTTCAAATCCAGACATGTAAAGTAAAATCAAGAATGATCTTTAAGCTTGGAGCCTTCAGTAGTCACAACATACATAAGTCACAGCTGTCCTAACAAATACACTGAGCAGCGTGAAGAAAAGTCAAGTCCACTAATGCTGCATAGATTAAGTGAACATTTACGCCTAGTGCTACAGAGGCTGAGGCAAAAGTTTGCCATGAGTTGGGTGGCAGTCTGGGCTACACAGAATTATAGGCCAGACTGGGCTATCGTGTGAGATCCTGTTAACAAAGCAAAAATACAAGGTAATGACTTATAATCTTAAATTTATGTTGGGCGGCGGTGGCATGCACCTTAATCCCAAGACTGGGGAGGCAGAGGCAGGCAGATCTCTGTGAGTTTGAGGCCAGCCTGGTCTACAGAGTGAGTTCCAGGACAGCCAGGGCTAAACAGAGAAACCCTGTATCCCCCACCCCAAATTAAATTTATTAAAAAAGTTAAGTGTTATGGTTTTCTATTTGTTGTTCTTTTCTTTTGAGTATGTTTGTATGAAAGAGTCTGTATGTACTAATGGTTGGCCTAGAACTTGTAATGTAGACCAGGCTGGCCTTCAATTTTCAATGATAGTAGCGGCTATCTATCACAAGCATGCATTACCACCTCTGCCTACTGCTTTCTACTTTTTTCTTTATGAAGGCATATTTAAAGTAGCAAGGGCCAACAAGATGGCTCAGCAGGTAAAAACACTTGCTATCAAGCCTAAGAACCTGAGTTCAATCCCTGAAACCCAAATAGTGAAAGGAGAAAACTGTCTCCTACAGGTCATCCTCTGACCTCACAGGTACAGGTACAACAGGTACAAAAGACAAGCAAAAGTAACAGATATAAAAAGACATTGAAAACAAGACAGCAAAATAACAAGATTACAGCATTTTAAAAACTAGAAATGAGTAACAAACATAATTTTATCTGAATTCTTTTATAAAATAATGCTACTTTGACAGCGTGTTACACACATACACACACACACAACTTTAAGACAATCTCATGTAACCCAAAGTAGTCTCAAATTCACTACGCAACCAAGAATGAACTTGAATTTCCTCTTGCCTCTGCCTCCAGAGTGCTGAAATTATATGCCACCATTACAGTGGGAGGCTGGTTTCCATGGTGGGTCTGGAACCAAAGTCCACTATTTAAATGGCATGGCATTTGCCATTTAATATACTTTAAACCATCCTAGGTTGCCATTATACTAATGCAATGGTTATTCTTCTGTGTTGCATAGAGAATGACAAAGAAATACCTGTCTATACTCAGATTTTTTTCCTGAAGGCATGGGGGTGCATCAGGATCTCCCTCACATTTGCTAGGCAAATACTCTACCAATGAGCTAAATCTATAGCGCATTTCTGAAGATTTTCAACCCCTAGTTAAACTCCTGGATGTGGGACTGTAGATGATGAAAGCAAAGACATAGATATACGTAGACCTATAGACACATATAAAAGATATGTCTATTCTTATTTTAAGTGTACAAGTGCTTGTCTTTATGTATGTATGTACTATATGTGTGTGCCTGGTGCCCATGAAGGCCAGATGAAGGCATCTGATCCCATGAAGCCAGAGCTAAAGGAAGTTGAGTCACCATATGGGTGCTGGGAACCAACCCAGGTCCTCTGAAAGAGTAGCAAGTGTTCTTAACAGAGGAGACATCGCTCCAGGCCCCCAATCTACTATTTTATAAATGATAAATAAGATGGAATACCTACTTCAGGGGCTGGAAAGATGGCTCAGCAGTGTTTATAACTTCAATTCAATATGTGGTTCACAACTGTTTATTACTTCAATTCCAGGAGATCTGATGCCTTCCTCTGACATCCACGAACACCAGACCCATATGTGGTGTACATCACATACATACATGGAGACGAAACACTCATAAAACTAAAAATCTAGCCGGGTGGTGGTGGCACACGCCTTTAATCCCAGCACACAGGAGGCAGGAACGGGCAGATCTCTGTGAGGTCAAGGCCAGCCTGGTCACCAGAATGAGTTCCAGGACTGGCCCCAAAGCTACAGAGAAATACTGTCTCAAAAAAGATAAGAAAAAAGTTTAAAACACCTACTTCAGCTAGGCTATAACTTTTACCTTTGTTAGGTTTTCATTCTCAATGTGCTTCAGAACAAAGACTTGAATGGCAAGGATATGTAGGATGGTGCCGAGGAGAACAGATGCCCTCCTCTTCGTCAAGAACACCTTCTCCTTTGGCGTAATGAAAACAGATGCAAGAAGGTACTTGCTCAAGCTCCTGAACAATGCTCTCCGAGCACTCAATTTCCACCAAACCTTGTGTTTGTATGAACTTTAAACTCATTTGTACAAACTTGAAATTCAGTAAGTCAGTATTCAACTCCCATTATAGCCTCAAAGACATGCTCTGCTCCGCCAACCTTCCTGACCACGCATTCTTGCTTAATCCAAACGTACTCTTTTGACAAACTGGATCAAAAGGCACATATCGGCTGGCGCTTTCATGAAGAACAGGAAAGAAACAGTGAACACAAGCATGGACATACATCTCAAGATGTTTCAGTTCAATAAGGGACTACATGGTGGTCCTCTAAGATTACAAAGGTGATAAGTTCCTAGTGTCTAAAGGAATAAAAGCTCACCATATTGCTCCAGGAGATGGTGACGCTAGTGTGAACAAGCCTGTCTGGATAGGTACAGATGCACTGTGGTACAACTGCCTACTGTATTCCACACAGCAGTCTTGTGCGCCACTGGAGTCTAAGAGCGCTACTCTGGATAGCCTCTGTGTCTATTATGGCAATCTAGCATTTGCAAGCACACTTGGTCACGTTCACAAAATGGTGAAACTGCCCAATGACCTCAGAAGACACCGCCATCTTTAAACAAAGCACAGCTATTAATAAATCAATATTGTTATAAAGCAGGCACACTGAATGAAGAACAAAGAGTGAAGTGCTATTTCTGCTGAAGTAGTCTGAACACCCTGAGGGAGTAAGATTTAAGCTAAAATTCAAGATGAGGAGGCATCCAGGTTACAAGGGAGAAGTCTAGGTTAAGCCAGAGTGGCTGGTAAGCATGATGCTGGCTTAAAGACGATCCCCAAAGACTAGGTGAGTACTGAAAGATAAGGATAGGGGCCAGGCAGCACTTGGGAGGCAGAGGCTGGCGGATCTCTGTGAGTTCGAGGCCAGCCTGGTCTACAGAGCTAGTTCCAGGACAGCTAGGGCTGTTACACATAGAAACCGTCTCAAAAAATCAGGAAAAAAAAAAAAAGATAAGTGTGGGAAGATAAGCAGGAGGCTGGTTGAACAGAATTTTCTTTTTTTTTTTAAAATATTTATTTATTTATTATGTATACAATATTCTGTCTGTGTGTATGTCTGCAGGCCAGAAGAGGGCACCAGACCTCATTACAGATGGTTGTGAGCCACCATGTGGTTGCCGGGAATTGAACTCAGGACCTTTGGAAGAGCAGGCAATGCTCTTAACCACTGAGCCATCTCTCCAGCCCCAGAATTTTCCTTGAGAGATTTTGCACAGGGAAATGATAAGATCTCTTTCTTCTTTGCAAGATCAACTCTGGCAGCTCTGTGGAAACCATTATGCAAGATCCTCTGTAAAAACAGGCAGCCAGACAGGCTTCAGGAAAGGCTCAAACCATGCTCAAAACACCTGAGAACTGGCTGTTACCAGTTCTCGACATTAAGCACCATTCCCCGCCATCTTCCATTGCTCCCCCTCAGCCTGCAGTCAATGGGCACGTCTCAATGCTGATTAGAAAGGAGTCAGTCAGGGGACTCATGCTGTTAGTGACATTTAGCACAAGCTAAAGCATTCACTACCCTGGATCAAGATAAAAACACTTCCCCACCACACACAGCTTGACTAGTAACCAACTCAGAATAAGCTAGTAGTGAAAAGAGACAGGAAAGATTATCTCAGGATCCACTCTGCAGAACTGACAGGCTATCTATGCATGACACAACATGAACAGATGCAAAAGGAAAGAAGCTTCCAGGTTTCTGGACTGGACAACAGGACAACAATGGCACCATCTTCTGGAAAGGTTAAGAGGAAAACATTTAAAGGGTAGTGGGGACTCAAGAGCTCCTTTCAATATATAAAACTTGAGATGGGCCAGGCAGTGCTGGTGCAAGCCTTTTAATCCTTGCACTCAAGAGGCAGAGGCAGGCCGATCTCTGAATTTGAGGCCAGCCTGACCTACAGAGTTGAGTCCCAGGACAGCCAGAGCTACACAGAGAAACCCTGTCTCAAAAACCAAAATTTGAGATGGGTAAGTGATGTCCACCAAAGATAGAAAGTTGTCAGACATTTCAATTTAGAGTAAGAAAAAAAATTTTTTTTTTTGCCTTGCCATATAAATTCCAGAGCACTTAAAACCATGGGAATGATATTATAGAAAACAGAGCCCCTGGGTCAAGCATAGTGACCCACACCTATATTCCCAACACTCTGGAGGCTGAGGCAAGTTCTAGTACAGCCCAAGCTAATGTGGGAGAGCCTGTCTCAGAAAAAGGAAGATGGAAACAGAAGATGAGAGAGAAGAAAAACATAGGGACCCGGACACAGCCTACCTTAGGATTCAGAGACTAGACAGGAGAAGTCAGCAAAGGGTGGCTAGTGACAAAACAGCCAGGAGCTGTAGAGGGAGAAAGAGCTTCAGGAAGGAACAAGCTGCTGAGAAACAACAAGGACGCAGGCGGTCTAAAGAATGGTATCTCTGCAGTAGCGCGCACAAGCCTGAGGCAGCCCAGTGTGGTGGCTCAGGCCTGGAATCTCAGCATACAGGAAAATGAAGCGGACAGAATGCCAATTTAAAGACAGTTTAAACATTTAAAGCCATCCCAGATTACACAGCAAGCTCTCGGACAGATTAGAGAGTAAGATCCTGTCCCAACAACAACAACGAAGAATAAGTGGCAGTTAGAAAGCAGACAGTGGAACCAATCCTCTACTTTCTGCATTCTGACTTTCTGCCTTACTTGTCTACCAACTGTCAATTTAGGGTATAAAGTCCATAAGGGCATGGGCTTCCTTTAAACACTCACCAAGCATGCAGGAAGCCTTAAACCCATTTCCCAGTACTGCAAATAAACAAAATACTCTCCGGGTACTAAATACTAACACTCATGCTGTGAAGGCAGATGATCACCACCAGTTCAAGGCCAGACTTAAGCTATAGTGGGACTCCATTTCAAAAAGATGTGGCTAGCTAGCACTTGGCTAGCATGAACAAGGTCCTGAGTTTAATCCCTAACACCACAAAAATCAAGTAACAGCAAAAACCCACTCAAGCCATGTAGTACACACCTCTAATTTCAGCACTAGAGAGACCAAAACAGGAGGATCAGAAGAAGTTTTGAGGCCAGCCTGGTTGTGAGGGTCTGAATGAGAATGCTCCCCCCCCCCCCACAAGCTCATGTATTAGAATGTTTGGGTCCCAGTTGGTGAGCTATTTAGGCAGATTAGGAGGTGTGGCCTTGTTAGAGGAGGTATGGAATAAGGTTTTTTAGGTTCCAAAAGTCCGAGTAAAGCCTAGTGTCCCTCTGCCTCATGGTTGTAGACCAAGATGTAAACTTTCAGCTACTAGTCCAGTGTCATGCCTGCCTGCCACCATGCTTGCTGCTGGTGATGCCACGGGCTGTAAGCAAGACCCAATTAAATGCTTTCTTTTGTAAGTTGCCATGGTCGTGGTGTCTCTTTACTGCAATAAAAAAGTGACTAAGACACTGGACTACAAGGTAATATTGTCAGTAAAATAAAGCAAAACCACTCCCTAACAGACTGATCCAAAGGCACAATGCTACTGTGGATGTAGCTCAAGTGGCAGATATTGCCTAGCATGGACAAGACCCTAGACTCAAGCCCCAGCAAAAGGGAAAACACAAAATGCCTATTATTAACTGTCATTCAAATCTCCTTGTGAAGTTATATATCCAGGATAAGAAACCCTCTGAAGCTGGGCAGTGCTGGCCTTAATCCAGCACTCGGGAGGCAGAGGCATGAGAATCTCAGTGAACTGAGTCCAGCCTGGTCTAGAGAGGAAGTTCTAGGACAGCCATAGCTATATAGTGAGACCCTGTCTCAAAAATACAAAAAGAACAAACTCCTTTGGACACAATCCTCTATAATTCCAAAAGTCTATATGTATGTCCTAGAAATCAAAGACATTCTAGATAAGGTGGCTAAAGCGTCCCTTCCCACAAATGAGATCACGCAGGAATTTTTAAACTCAAAAAGGGCCACTCATCAAGCAAAAACAACTCGGCTCCAGTAGGAACCTACCTCCTTATAGTCTCCATTTCTGTTGAGCCGGTAACCCTCCGGAGTATGGAGCTGCACAGTTGTACTATTGACCACTTCTACACAGCACTCTTGGTCAGGGAAACTCAGTGGGCGCACCCTACAGTACACCTGGAAAAAGAGAAAGGTGTTTAAACAAGGTTGACTTTTTGTCTAGTTTTCTTTTTGGTTTTCCTGTTTGTGTTGTTTGTTGAGACAGGGTTCTCACTCTGTAGCCCAAGCGGGTCTGGAACTCTCAGCAATCTGCCTGCCTGGGAGGGCAGGTATGAACAACCTTGAATGTTCACCACTTACTTGATTTTCCAGGAAAGCTTTCTGTTCATATATCTACAAATATCTGATATCCCACACCAACATAAACACAAAATTATGAAAAACAAAATCTGCATTTCAGAATGATCAAATGCAAAAATGTATTTAAATCAAAATAAATTTAGGTTAAAATATTAAACTGTATGGTTTCTCTTCGCTGTTGTGCTCAAATAAAATTGTACTAACATAAAAATCTCTCTAAATGCCTGAAAGGTGACTAAATTCTTCAGAACTGGATATCATTTCAAACAGCCAGCGCGGGTGGGCGTGACAGCACACACCTATAATCACAGTACGTGGAGGGTGGAGATCATTTCCGGGAAAACTGTCCAGCTGTACTCACTCACAGTGAGCAGGTGGTGCAGCTCAGCACCAGAGACCCTCTGTAGTGGGGTGGCGGCATTCAGAGCACGGCAGAGCAAGCAACCCTTCTCAGGACGAGGTATGAACTACACTGAGTTATTCTACACCGGTCTATGAACCTTGAGTGCAGGGTTCTCCTTGAGAACGTGTAGGTCCCACATACAGAGGACCAAGAACTAAGAACAAAGTTCCTATCCCAAGAGTAGAACCTGGTAGGAGTTTCAAACATTTAACTTTTCAGATTCTAACTAGAGATAGCAGGTTTGGTGATTAGCAACTAAAGACTACCTTCTTCTGGGCTAATCCAAACAGAGAAAGCGAACTTCAAGGCTAAAGCTAGTTTTAGACAATTTAGTGAATCAGTTTAACTGTGTGCTCTTTGACCCAACTATCTATCACTTCCCCTTCCTCTTTCAAGCAAACAAGACAGAAACAGACTAAAGACAACACACACATATAAATCTTACCCCAACTGGATCTTTAAGGTTTGACTGAGATCCTTTTTTTATTACAGGTTTCCTCGGCATCTTAGCTTTCCTGGGCAAAAACAAAAAAACCCCAAAAACAAAACATAAATTTCTGTCCAATACCAACACACAAGACTTCACAAATTCTAGCAATGGTAATCTAACTCATCAAAATTGGGACTGGGAAAATACACTTTTGATACCAGAAGTACCCAAGGGACTTTTGCTTGATTTCGGTTTTTTTTTTTTTGTTTTCTTTCAATTCTGGAGAGCAAATTCAGAGATTTGCTCTTATAGGGCATGTTCTCTACCAGTAAGATACATCCCCAGTCTGCTAATCTATCAGTTCTTTATTGAAAACTTAGTATATTTTCTTAAGCAACAATTTTACAGTCACTACCAATTTGAGAAGTCAACATTTAACTTTATACAGGTGTACAAGCACAGTGCATAATTACTCAATTATAAAATCGCACACAAATTCACTTTCTGACCAATTTGTATGCCTAAGGGCTATGGATGTTCTGTGGAGTAGAAGAGCCCAGCACACAGAATGAACTTAGTTGAATCCCAAATGATAGAAATAATTAAATAAATAATCTGTACTTTCAAGGAACAGTTGGTCGCTGAATGACAAAAACTATTATCCTTGCTAGGGGTGATGGCGCACGCCTTTAATCCTAGCACTCGGGAGGCAGAGGCAGGCGGATCTCTGAGTTAGAGGCCAGCCTGATCTACAAAGCGAGCTCCCGGACAGAGCTCTTTACACAGAGAAATCCTGTCTCGAAAAACGAAAACCTATTTTCCTTTAGCTCATACCCCAAATATTTATTGTTCCAAACAGAAAAAAAAATTTTTTTGATTTACTTCAACATTCTCTATCATATGACTTCTCCTTTCTCATTTATGGGCTACAGGAATATTTAACACTAAAATTAATGGTTGGTTTGGGCTGTAGATTATCAAAATATTTTTCTCAGTATAGTCACACATAAATTAGAAGTAAACCAGAGTTGGGCGATACACTGTGGTAGGTGTCCTTAAACAAATACGAAGACTTTGACGTTTTCTCATTTAAACAAGTTCCCTCTTTGAGAAAAGCTAGCTCCGAGGAAACGAAGTCTAAAGCCAAAGCTCCCTCGCAGCCCAAGTGCTACCAGGATGTGGCCCGCCCGAAGAGTCTAGGAATTGTTGAGGAATGTGGGCGTGGGGGACAGAGCAGGCGAGTGGGATAGCCTGGGGACAAAGATAGCGCAAAGGGACCTGGCCTCCAGGCTAGGACCCGGGAAGGGGTGCCCACGGAGCTGCGGGGACTCAAGCCCGCAAAGTGCCAGCACACATCCCCGCTGCGCGCGCACTCCGGATCCTAACACCCACCACCTGCAAAGCGGTCGGCTTTGCTGAGGAAGCTGAGGAAGACTAGGCAGCCCAAAGGATGCCAACCCGGTCACCCCGAACTCGGAGCTAACCTTCGCGGGTGGCGTGGGCACACCAGGGTCGGCGGGCACCGGAGCGCTGTGGGTCCGGGCTCAGCTCCCGGACAACCCCCCGGTCGCAGCGTGAGGAGGGCGGCGACCCCCGCCCCGTCACCTCACCAATCCCCTCCTTGGCCTGGTACTCACGCTGGCTTCATGACCACAGGCTCCGTGCTATCCAGACACGCACGGAGGACGTCGGGCTCAGACCGGAGCAGAGCTGGCGGGAAAAGAAGACTGCAGACAGCGGCCGCGGGGACCCGGACTCAGTCTGCGGAGAGCCCGGCGGCGACGCTCCAAGCCTAAGTGTGCGGCCGCCCGGCGCATTTCAAACAGGCCAATCAGCGGCCGCCTGCAACGAAGGGGCGGGGCCTCGGGAAGCACCGGCGCAGTCGGCAAGGGCGCTCGTCGCCCTAGCAACCCGAGGAAAACAGTCTGAGACAGAGAAGGGTTGCGCGGGAGAAAAAACCCGAAAAGGGGAAATCCCGGCCTTTCGGTTCTGACGCAGAGACTGAGGTCTCCCTGCTTTTGTCCCTAGAACCTCAAAGGAAGTAAAGTTCCCGCCGGGAGTGTTCTACTCTCTAGCCGACTGGTTTCCGGGCCACCAGACCATCTAAGTCATTACACTGCATTTTATGTTTTATTTGTCCTTTTACAGTGAATGATACGTTTACATTTCATCTTACTTTTAATATTCATTTTGTTCTTTTGAGACAAGGGTCTCATGTGGTCCACGCTGTCCTCAAACTTGCAGTGCAACCTCTGGGATGATTTTGAAGACAACACCAATTTGACAGTCAACCTTCCGTGAGTTTCCTTCTCTGGGTCTACTAGATCTTTCCTATGTATGTATGTATGTATGTATGTATGTATGTATATAAGTTTGTGTGTATGTATGTATATAAGTATGTATGTATGTATTTTTCTTTTCGTGGTGCTGGGGATGAAACCCGGAGCCTCACAAATGCTAGGCAAAGGTTATCCCACTAAGCTAGACACAAATTCTTGATTGTGATGTTTCCTAGGCATTCAAAGATGAATAAAATCTATGCACTGCCTTTGTGCAGCCACCAGAACCTACTCTTGTCTCCCACGAATTGATGCTATCTCGCTTCCATCTTTGCTCCTATGCTGATGTGTCTGCACCTGCGTTCTGCAACTCAAGCCCTGCTCAAAGCTTCCTTTAGGGTCAGCCTGGATAAGGATAGTCCGTTTAATATCCGTAGTTTAATACCCATGTTATTGGACATTAGTCTTTCTAATATTTGCTTTTGCAAACTGCTACAATGAATAAACCTGGACACATGCTCTTTTATAAAGTAGAGGTAGGATAAATTTCCAGAAGCAGATAGCAACCTAACAGGCTTTGCAGCCACCTGTAGGACCAATTCTAATTGATCTTAATAATAAAAACCCAGAATCAGCTATCAGGAGCAAAAGCTGAAGAACAGAGAGAAGTAGAGCAGTCGGCCACCAGAGAGTTCCTACTTCTACCAATGTTCAGACTGAAGGGACGATCTGTCTGTGTGAATCCTCAGACTGAATGCTGTCTTTCCAAAACCCCAGACATCTCTCAGACCAAGTCCTCAGACTGCATCTGAGTTCTTTGTCTCCTCCTGCTTTATATTCCTCTCTCTGCCCAGCCAGACCACTGCTGTCTCCACCTCCCTAGTGCTGGGATTAAAGGCGTGTGATTCCCAAGTGCTGGGATCACCTTTGTGTGAGTTCTATTTCTCTTTAGGCACCTTCAATCTCGTGAAGCCCAGGGTGGCCTTGAACTCTGCCTGCCTCTGTCTCAGAAGTGCTGAGATTAAAGGTGTTTGCTGTCACTGCCTGGTCTCTTTGGCTAACTAGTGGTTTAACTCTGCACTCTGATCTTCAAGCAAGCTTTATTTTACAAACAAAATATCACTACAGCCACCATCTTTCAAAACAGTTCCATTTGACAGCCCTCTCACCTCTAAATCACAGGTCTAGGTGACACTCTAGAATGATGTCATCACCCATTGCTTGAGACCCTCAGTGGGGTCCCGTGTTACCTATCACCTGTCCCTACTCCACCACACACGCTCGGGACATATCTGCCCCCTCATGGAAGTCTCTGTTGTCTCTCGTTCTTCCTCTCCTCTGAGGATGCCTCACGTCAGCAGATCTGCCCTGCAGCCTGCCACTTGCTCTGCCGATTTCAGCAGCATTCAGCTCCCAACTGACAGCCCCTGTTCACTGAGTCCTCTCCGAGCTTATACCCCTCAGCCTCGGTAGATGGCATTGTTGCATGCCCAGTGCTTAGCAGTGTGGGCATGGCCCTGAGGTGTGAAAGGCTGGACCGAGGTTCTCATTGAAGGACTTTGGAGGGGCTCTCCAGCGCTTAGAGGTGTGGGCATGGCCCTGAGGTGTGAAAGGCTGGACGGAGGTTCTCATTGAAGGACTTTGGAGGGGCTCTCCCTTTGCTCCATCTGCCGCTTTCTTCCAGCTGGGTTTTCTCTTCCTTGTTTCTGTCCATATTAATGCTCTCTAGCTCATTCATTTTCTTAAAAGTATCAATCACTATGGCCCTGGAAGACTTGCATTTCCCTCTAGAATTAGATGTAGACCAGGGCAAGTATGGAAAAGAGGCCAATCTATATCTGGGGGACATCTTTATTTATTTATTTATTGAAAAATGTATTTTATACGATATATTCTGATTTTACTTTTCCCCTCCCACAACTCTTCTCAGATCCTCCCAACCTCCCTACCCACCCATCTCCATGCCCTTTCTGTTTTTCTTTAGAAAACAAACAGGCAAACAAACAAAGAAAAAAAACACTATCATATACATACAAAAGACCAACAAGACAAAAAAAAATGCCCAAACAATGCAAAATGAGACCAAAGTCTACAAAAATACCATTGAGTTCGTTTTGTGTTGGCCATCTACTGCTGTGTGTGGGGCCTGACCTTAAGTATGGCTAATATACCCAGGGAGACTCCATTGGAGGAAACTAATTTTTCCTTTGCAAGTGGGTATCAAGTGTAGACAGCTTCTGGGTTGGGGCAAGAGCCTGTCTCCTTCCCTCTCAGCACTGGTACCCAGCCAGCTTGTATCCCGGCAGACCCTGTGATGCTGGCCAGTCTCTGGTAGTTCATGGTAGTCCTATTGTGCCAGGAAGACACCGTTTCTGTAGTCCTCATCTCCTCGGACTCATACAAGCTTTCTTCCTCCTCTGCTGTGTATCCCTGAACCCCATGGGGAGGGGTTGATGAAGACATCCTATTTAAGACCAAATGTTCTCTTCTCTTCTCCTGCTCTTGTCCCCAGAGATCTGTTTTCCCCCTTCCCTTCCCCCAGTTAAAAAAAAAAAACCCTCCATGTGAGCTCTGTTGTGCGCTGCCTTTTAAATTACAACAGAGGGTATTATGCACACCACTGAGAGGGGACTGGCACTACAGATGCTTAAGACTATGTTTTGCTCAAATACAAACTCGTGTGACGGTTAATCTACAGGTAGCTAAGGCGCCCAGGTAAGCAAGCCCAGCTGGGGGAGGCCTAAAAACACCAATAACTGCTGAAGCTCAGGGTATTTGAGAAGAAGAGAGAAAATGGAGACAGGGCTGTTGTGCAGCTCAAACCCATTTGACACACCTCAGTCACCCTGAGTGGCTGTTAATAGTTGTCTTGGAAACACTGGCTCAGGTTCCCAGGCAGCTGTACAATGAAAGATTAGATGTTTATCTTTTTCATACTCCAGAAACAAGGAATTGATCAGGTGGAGGGGCTGACATAATAAATTCACACAAAATAAATCCAGTCCCGTCAGCCACACTTCAAATGAATAGCATACACAGGAAGTGAAATAGCATACACAGTGTTTTAGATTGCTTGGACTATCACCCCAGGCTCACACAGCAAAGTAGTGAAGACACCCCTTTCTCACCCTGGCATGGCTTAGTAATTCTCAAACGGCATTCCAAACACTCAAGGACTGAGCAAGTCAGAAAGAACACTGTAGCAGGGTGGCTAAGGGGAGCAGGCCCCCACTGCCACAGAAGGGGTTCTAAGCATCAGAAGGTGGAGGCGGGGGGGGGGGGGCTGGGAATGTTTGCAGTACTTGGCAACATGTTTCTGAATTCAAAACTGTGAGATAGCTAAACTTGTAATGATGCTTGACCCCAAGCCAGATGACCTAGGTTTGATTGCCAGGACCCACATGGAAGAAGGAGAGAAGCAATTCCTGCAAGTTTACAGGCCCACATACATGCGCCCCCCCCCCACTAAATGAATGCAACTTTTAAAAAGAAAAGTAGACCAGGCAGTGGTGCGCACGCCTTTAATCCCAGCACTCAGGAGGCAGAGGCAGGCGGATCTCTGTGAGTTGGAGGCCAGCCTGGTCTACAAGAGCTAGTTCCAGGACAGGCTCCAAAGCTACAGAGAAATCCTGTCTCTACAGAAAAAAAGAAATGAAAAGTAGACTATAATAGGGCTTATTAACCCTCCCACCTGCAACCTCTCACCCTCTCCCCCCAGCAGTGAGAAGAAAACCCAGAGGCTGTGCTATTATTACTGAGCTAATTCGCTAACTCAGGTGTTTCTGAGATAATTGTGATAAGGATGTTATTATGTAGCTCAAGCTGGCCTCTAACTGGTGATCTTCTTCCCCCTTGACACCCAAGTGCTAGAGATTATAAATGTCCCATCTTAAATTTCCCCATCTTAAAAAAAGTCACCTGGCTCAGGCCTGGTTAATCATGTGTTTAATCTCAGCACATAGTAAGTTCCAGGCCAGCAGTAGCAATTAGGAAGGAATCAACAGTACAAACTGTATAAAAAAAAAAATGTTTTAGCCAGGCGATGGTGGCACATGCCTTTAATCCCAGCACTCGGGAGGCAGAGGCAGGCGGATCTCTGTGAGTTCAAGACCAGCCTGGTCTACAGAGCTAGTTCCAGGACAGGCTCCAAATCCACAGAGAAACCCTGTCTCGAAAAACCAAAAAAAAAAAAAAATGTTTTGGGGGAAGGGGGTTCAAGACAAGATTTCTCTGTGTAACCCTGGTTTGTCCTAGAACTTACTCTGTAGACCAGGCTGGCCTCAAACTCACAGAGATCTGCCTGCCTCTGTCTCCTGAGTTCTGGAATTAAACGCATGCACCACCACCACTGCCCTGCAAGATTTATTTTTAACTGTGTGTGTGTATGAGTATCTAAAAAGACTATAAAAGGACATCAGATCCCCTGGAACTACAGTTCCAGGTGGTGGTGAACTACCTAATGTGGGTGCTGTTAACCAAACTCAGGTCCTTTGCAAAGACAACATGCCCTTACACATTTGGTGTAGGAGGTTCTTCTTACTATGCGTTGCTTTCATTGGTTGAATAAAGAAAACTGCCTTGGCCTTTTGATAGGGCAGCACTTAGGTGGGCGGAGTAGACAGAACAGGATGCTGGGAAGGAGGCAGGCAGAGAGAGCCACCATGGAGTCACCAGATCAGACATGCTGAATCTTCCCGGTAAGCCACGACCTCGTGGTGACATACAGATTATTAGAAATGGGTTAATCAAGATGTTGAGAGTTAGCCAATAAGAGGCTAGAACTAATGGACCAGGCAGTGTTTAAATAAATACAGTTTCTGTGTAATTATTTTGGGTTAAGCTAGCTGGGCGGCAGAACTCGGCCCGATCGCCTTGTACAACAAATTTTTATTTTCGTGTGTGTGTGTGTCTGTGTGTGTGCCTGTTTGTTTTTATGTGCACCATGTACATGCCATGCCTACAAAGTCCAGAAGAGGGCACTGTATCCCCTGAAACTGGAGTTTTAGATTATTGTGAGCTTCTGTGTAGGTGCTGGAACCCAAACCTGGGTTCTCTGCAGCAGCGAGTGCTCTAAATAGGTGAGCCATCTCTCAAGCCTGTGTAAAGGTCTTGAAATACATGTTTTGTTTTTCTTGGTAGGTCTTACGGTGAGGTTAACTTTTGAGCTGGGTCCTGGGTTCCATTCCTAGCAACATAAGGTGGGAATCCCCTGAGGATTTTTCTGAATAGCCAGTATCCAGCACCCCTCCCTCCTTGCATCTCATATGTCAGCATGCTTAGGCCTGAATGTGTTTGTTTCACATGGCTGGGCAACATTTTTACAGGGTGAACTAAGGTATCTCTGAGCTCCTTTTGATCCACTCTTCAGAGAGGCCAAAGCAAAGGCTGTTCCAGAAAGCTGATGCTTAGACAAGATGGCAGCTGATAAGTGTCTTGCCTGAGGTACTTTATTACAGAACTCCAAGCATTCCCTGCGCTTAGAAAGGAGCACAAGAAGGCCCTCGGGCAATCTCTCAGAGAAAATTCAGAACCTCTTCAGAATTCACCATTGTCTTCCCGAGTGCAGTTCAACATTTCTGGAAGGAACAGCCTGGCTCCTCTCCTTCCAATTAGATAGCCCTCCCGGCCCCAAGGCCAGAAATGTCTGTCCACTACTCGCCAGCCAGCCTGGCTCCTTCCGGTCCTGAAGCCTCTCCTGAGCTGTTGCTTATCAGATGGGCTGTGCAATTCAGTGGGCTACCTCGCTCCCCACCTCCCTGGGTCTGTTTCCTTCACAGGACTGATCTTTTCTGGATTTATCTACTAGTGCCATGTTCACAAGAGCAGACCTGGAAGGTTTGGTTTTATTCACTTCTGCCTCCAGAGTGTCAACACTATGCCTGTTTTGTTGTTATTGTTTGCTTTTTAAAGATTCATTTTATATGTGTGAGTGTTTTGGCTATGTCTGCATCATGTTCATGCAGAGCCCATGGAAACCAGAGGGCCTCGAAACCTCTAGAACTAGAGCAGCGGTTCTCAACCTTCCTAGTGCTGTGGCCCTTTATTTAATAGCATTCCTCATGTTGTGGTGATCCCCCAACCATAAAATTGTTTTTGTTACTTCATAACTATAATTTTGATACTGTTATATATTGTTCTGTAAATATCTGTGTTTTCCGCTAGGCTTGGACAACCCCTGTGAAACGGTTGTTCGACCCCCAAGGACGTTGAGAAACACTGAACTAGAGTTATTATTTGGTTGCCTAATGAATCTCAGACTGGCCTCAGACTGTGTGGCTGAGTATGATGTGACTCTCCTGCCCCCATATCCCAAATGCTGGGATCATAGACATGTAACACCATGCCCAGTATATGCAGTGCTGGGTTTCAAAGCCAGGGCCTGATGCATGCCAGGCAAAAACCACCATCTGAGCTCCATGCCCAGTCCAATTTTATACCTTTTCTTTCCACCATAAAATTGGGGCTGTGAAAATGCCACTAACAATGTCACATTGCTATTAAAGAACAAAATTGATTGTGCAGTTTGTAATTAATGTAACAAAATTTACCAGCCCATATAATTGTATCAGTCTCCCTTCCTGGGGAGAAGTAAACAGATAATAAAATAATCAAACCATATTTCTTGACCACTCACATCCAAAATATGTTGGCCCTTGTCATGAAAGAACGAGATTGTGAGCTACTGGCAAGGCCATTGACATAGCTGAGCTGCCTAATCCTGGAGAGGGTGTAGGACAGAGGGTATTCCAAGTCGGCAAAGGGACCCAGCTCTGTGATGAATGACCCCCAAAGTCACTACCAAGTACAAATCATGGGTTGATGGGCCTCTCTTAAACTTTGCTTTGTATCAGCATTTCTGGACTCCCTGAAACCCTATAAAATCCTGAACTTTAATTACTAATGCAAGGGGGCTGGAGAGATGGCTCAGTGGTTAAGAGCACTGGCTGCTCTTCCAGAGGTCCTAAGTTCAATTCCCAGCAACCACATGGTGGCTCACAACCATCTATAATGAGATCTGGCGCCCTCTTCTGGGGTGCGGGCATACATGAAGGCAGAATGTTATATACATAATAAATAAATTAATCTTTAATTACTAATGCAACAAACAAGGAATTGCTGTGTTTGATACCACGAGCCTAAATAACAGAGCTTCTCCAAAGACAACAAATGAATCCAGAACAGAGCTGCAATGACTGCACCCATGCTGTGGGAAATTACATGCACATTAGGAGTCTAGGCAAGGGTGAGTGTGCCGAGACACTCTCATCCATGCTGATGCATGTGGCATCAGCGTGTCTACCTCCATGGCTTCCACCTTGCTGAGAAGGGACCTCTCACTAAACCTCTACATTTAGATAGACTACCTGGCTAGTTAGTTCCCAGTGCTGGGGTTACAGGCACACCTAGGTCTCCACGGTGCATACTGGGGAATCTGAACTCGCTTTGATGCTTGCACAGCAAACACTGGGCCCACTGAGCCATCCCCAGCCCTATAGTGGGATATTTTTAAGACAAAATGAGAAGGATGCTATGTTGCATATGAACACAGTAATATTTGGTTCAGAGCATCAATAACAAGGGTAACATTGGCCCCAGGGCAGACAGGCAGCTATTGGCCCTGCACAAGCATTTTTTGTGTAAGACTGCAAAGATCATTGCACAAGGTTGTGGCTCTTAGCAGAGTTCTGTTGGGGGTGTGTGTGATGTTATTTTTTTTTTTTAAGAAGGGGGTTATTTGGGTTTATTGTTCTAGAAGGGATATGGTAGGGAAGGTATGGATCCTGAATGCGAGGCTGACCCAGCAGTCAGGAAGATGGCTGACCTCATTTCATCCACACACAGGAAACAGAGAGCTTTAAATGAGCATGCATGCCTGAGCACCTCTCCTTCAAGCCTCCTGGCTTTATCTTCTTTTAAGTCTAGAGTTTGACCTACAAGTCTTCATTTTTATTTTAACCACTTTAAAAAATATTATCGACAGTAGAAAACTCTGGAAAGAATACAAGGATTTACACATAGATGGCGGGTTACTGAAACTCCCCCTACCCCGTATCGGAGAGCACAAATGAAGTCCCCCACTACCACAAATTATGCAGTCGAGTCTCCCCACATTTGAGGAAATCACAGGGGTCAACACATCCGGAGAGCAATGGCCAAGCCTCACCCTGGGAAAACCACCTTTGGGATCATGGTATCTCCCCAGTTGCTGGAGCTTTGATCAAGCTGTATAATGAAAGACACCACAAATGTCTTTAGCTTTTGCTCCCTGCCCTCTTGTGTTGGAGTCCTCATGTGGATGTGATCGTATCCACATTTTCTCTGCAAAATCTGCATTTAATGTAGGGAAAATAGAAGCCCTAGGTTCACCCCAGGAAATGCATGTCATAGGCTTACCTGGGTTTGAAGACAGGATATTTGACTGTCCCATTGGTGAGATCTTCAACACCCTCTGCACAGATTCTAAGTCTGGCAGCATACTGGGCATGCTTAAACAGTGTCAGGCATGTGACATCTCTAAAGACAACTCCTTCATTGCTTGAAAAGGTGACAGGGAGCCCTACCAGTTGAGATGATACACTTAGCTCCAGAGGTCAACACATTTTATCTCCACTATGGAATATTTTGCAGCAGGGCCTGGATATCGAACGCCTGTTGTCAGGCTTGACAGCAAGCTTCGTAACTCATTGACCCATCTCTCATCTGGGGAAGAAGTTTGGCTATACAGAATTCATCAAATGCAGCCAATTTCATTTTAAACATTAATATAAAAATTAGAAAGGCAGCCAGGCAGTGGTGGCTCAGAACTTTAATCCCAGCAGGCAAAGACAGATCTCTGTGAGTTCAAGGCCAGCCTGGTCTACAGACAGAGTTCTAGGACAGGCTCCAAATCCAAAGCTACAGAAAAACCATGTCAAAAAGGGGGGGCGGGCAGGACAATATGCTTAATTCGACTTTAAATTAAAAACTATATTTTTTTAGGGACAGAATCTCCTGTATCCAAGGATGGCCTCAAATCACTAAGTATCTGAACTTCTGGTCATCTGGTTCTACTCCTCTGGTGCTCGGATTATAGGTATACACCATCAGGTCAGGTTCCTGCTTCGCTGAGGATCAAAACCAGGGACTCAGTATAGTGGTACATGGCACATGCCTTTAATCTCAGCCCTGAGGAGTCAGGAGCCAGCCTGGTCTACACAGTAAATTCCAGGACAGCCTGAGCTACATAGTGAGACCTTGTCTCAAACAAACAAATAAAACAGCCAAAACCAAACAAACAAAAATAGGCCTTTGTATATTGTAGGCAAGTATTTACCAACTGTGCTGCACCCCCATCTCCTAAACACCCCGTTTTAAATAAGTTTAAAACTTAACATTTCAATAATTTGTGTTGTCCAGGACTTAAGCCCATGTTCTTCTCCTTTTTACAGAACACTTACAGAATCAGTGCATGTGTGGAGAACTCTCCCCGGGTTAGATGCTTTTTTTGATACGAGCCCATTAAAAAGTGTCAAGACATCAGTCACTACACATACTTTTGGCCACGGTAAGCCGGCACCACACCAGTGACTTAACACTGACGCCTGGCATGTTGTAAATCACATTTCCTTTTCATGTAATTCAGGCTCAGGGATCCGATAGAGAGCAGCTGAGAAATAAATAATGTTGCTGAGGCTGAAGATGATGCACAGAAGCAAGGCTGCTGCTATCTGGGGCAATGAGAAGGGTCTGGAGGTGGCCAAAAGCCACTCCTTTCTTAGAGTCTTATCCAGCAGGATGGCTTCCATCTGCAAGTGTGTGGCCAGGATCACGCACACATGAAACAGCTGGTGACTGTGACCTGCGGAAAAAGCACAAAAGGTTGTCAAGATTACCAGTCTGAACCAGAGAAACGGCTTAGTGGGTGAAGGCTCCTGCTGCCAAGCCTGGTAGCCTGAGGGCCACTCCTGGGACCCTCAGGCGAGTATACATCCCTGGGAGTTATCCTCTGACCTCTGCATTTGGCTTGTGTACACCCGTGTATACATCATACACATGCTCAGAATAAATTTAGTGCCGGAAGTCATCAATCAAAAGGTGTATGGACGCAGGCTATGATATGTATGCTAAAAATAGGATAGCTAAATCCAAGTAGTCAGACAAGGGATCACACATATGATTTTATCTGTTTGTTTCTTTATTTCAGTGCTGATTGTCTTCTGAGACAGGGTCCCAGGTAGCCCAGGCTTGAGCTGAGGATGACTTTGAACTTCTGATCCTCCTGCCTCCACCTCTTGAGTGCTGGGATTACAGGCTTCTATAACAATACTTATTTTATAATTTCATGTCTAAGAAATGCTTAGAGAGGCGGGTGAAAGACAGCCACAGGCCCTCCATGATCCTCACTGACTGGGACTGGCTGAAGATACCCACAGGCCTGCAGCACCAGGCAGACAGACCTCATTATGATGAGCAAGTATATCTTGGAGAAACGGGAGAGAAAGAGAAACCGACTGGTTCCTGTGCTGCGGAAAGAGGAGGAACTGCAGAAACAAAGGTGGTCAGAAACAAGCTGTAAGTGCCATGGTGACGTCTGATCCTGGCCTGCTGTCAAGAGCCATGGTCCTACCCCATCAGAGTAATTGATAACCCAGTCTGTGTTGACATCCGTGGCCCATGTTACCACCAAAGGCCACACTGATGCCCCAGGGTCTGGGCTGCCACTTGTGGCCATGTTGGTGTCTGAGGACTGTGCCACCACAGGGGCCAGGCTGAGCTGAGGTGGCCCGGGCTGCCACTCGGCGCCTTGGTATTATCAGGACCACAGCTGCAGCCGAGGGCCATGTCTGGGATCATGACCCTACTGCAGCCAGGGTCTGTGTTGCTATCCATGCTTTGGTTAACACTGAAGACCAAAAGGATGCCCAGGGTCTAGCCTGACGCCTGAGGCCATGTTGGTGTACGAGCGCTATACTCCTGCTGTGTCATACTTATCTGAGTGGCCTGCACTGCCACCCAAAGCCATGGTGACATCTGGGTCCAAGCTGCTGCCAAAGGTCAACATAAACCATGGATATCAGCATTGACTATGGCTGCGGTAGAATCATAGACCCAGATATGACCCTTGCTCAAGCTACCACAGGGGACCATAGGAACTATGCATGTTGAAACCCAAGGGCTGTGCTAAGCCAGCACCACCCATCACTGTCCCCAAGAGAGCTGGCTACTGCCATAGAATAGTTAGCTCTGACCCTCACAGGAGAGCTGGCCCCACCCTTCACCATGGGTATGGAAAAGCCGCCCTAATCACCAACACCAGTATAGAAGAGCTGGCCCCTCACCTGAGGGGCAGCCCCAGCAGCCCAGAATGACCAAATCAGCTACCATGCAGACCCGCATTCAGGGCTTTGAACTGGCCCACCCCAGCACCTACACCATCCATGACCTAGTTGAGTGCATGAAGAGACTGGCCCAACAGAACCATGGCTGCAGAATCTCCATGAGATGGGGCAATGGTGGGACGGGATATCCGGCAGGAGTTTGGGTGAGGATCCAGTATTGATGGTGTATCAGAAGCCAGAGGCCTTGGACCACACCAACACATTACAGCCAGAACAAGGAAAGTGGAATGGACAAAAGCATACACTGTGTGACACACTGCAGCACCCAGTGCCACTAAGATGAATGAAGAGGTGTGTGTGGGAAAGATGGAGAAGCAAGGTGGGGTTTTTGTTGTTGTTTTTCTGTTTTGCTTTGAATTAATTTTTAAAATTTTTCTTTGGGGGGGAGCACTATGGGGGTGGGAGTGGATATGGAGGGACTAGAAAATGAGTGGGACTGGGGTTTATGATGTGAAATTCCCAAAGAATCAATAAAAATTATGCTTAAAAGAAAGAAATGCTGAGAAAGGACCTGGGAGATGGCTCAGTGTGTAAGACCGTTTGCTAAGCAAACATGAAAACTTGAGTTCAGATCCCTAGCACTCGTATAAAATGACAGGCGTGCTCGGGCATGCTCGGGCATGCTTAGGCATGCTTCTAAACCCAGTGCTGTGTGGACACAGGAGGTTAGCTGGCGTTTGCTGGTTTTCAGCCAAGCTACTGGTTCGGTGAGAGATTAAGGCAATAAGACAGAGAATGATAAAGCATGGCAGGCGCCTGACATCTTCCTCTAGCCGCAGACTGCAGACACATGCACACACACACACTCATTAATATGAACACATACAAAAAAATTTTAAAACTTAAAAATGTTGGGAATAGATGAAGCTATAGCAGAGGGTAGAAATGGGAATTCTCCCTGCCTGGGCAGAAGGTTTTATACTGGAATGGTCGACATGTCCCAAATGAATTTGCACTTTGGTACATATACTGGAGGAATTATACATCATTGTTTTTGGTTCGTATTTGTGACAGTTTCTTGCTGTGGAGCTCAGGTTAGCCTTAGAACTAACTACCATGGGCCTCTTGTTCCAGCCTTCAAAGCACTGGGACCACAGGTGTGCCTGTCTCCAGCTGCTGGAAGCAACACTGATTTGTGACTTGACAGTGTGGTAGTAGATAGTCAAACATACTTGTGGTAGCTGGTCTTAATTGTGCACTTGTTGGGATTCAAAGTCAGTCTAGGAGACATCTCCCCGTGTGTGTGTGTGTGTGTGTGTGTGTGTGTGTGTGTGTGTGTGTATGTGTGTTTCCAGAGAGAATTAACCAAGAGGAGAGTCTGCTTTCTAAGGGAGCGGCATCTTCCAGTGAAGCTATTTATAACTGAAAGCGGTGTCCCCTGCCTCCCTCCCCAGCAAGTGCATCTCTTGCTGTCACCACCGTCCTCTGCCATCAGGACCCAAGCTTCTTCAGCCTTCCGGTGTGGACTGACTGCCAGCTCCACAGGTGGCTATCAGGCCCATAGCCCCAGTTGTGAACTACTCATGCATCCAGCTTTGTAGCACCCAGCAGCTTTTCTGCCTCTCTTGCAGGCTGCCAGCCACTGTTGGACTACCCAAACTCCAGTCTAGTAAGCCCTATATCATATGTGTGTGTATACATACATACATACATACATACATACAGAGTTCTGTTATAGAGAATCTGGCCTAATATTACTCCGTACTATATTTATTCTTAGAAATTAATATGAGAAAACTAGGAAGGTTAGATGAGCAAGATTCTTTCTCTAAAGCACCTTATCCATCAGCCCTCTTTTCCAAATGAAAATGTGGGCACTCTGCTCTTCCAGGGCTCCAGTTCTGACTTCTGCTGCACTGGAAGAGCTAGAGTTTTCCATCTTCTCCTTCCCAAGTGTTCTTGTCTCAACTTCCGGCTAATTAGAGACATGACCAGGAGCTCGCGCTCCAGGACTGAGCTCACCAACTGCACAATCAGTGGGCAGGAGCCCAAGCAGGAGGGGCAGAAGTAGGCAGGGCCATGAGGAAGGGTCCAGGCTTAGGAAAATGACACCGACAGCAGGACGAGAAGATGGCACTTTCCAAGACTGAACTGTCCCTCTGAACACGTGAAGTCCAAGCTGTGGCTGTCTACGGAGAGACAGTTAAGTTTCAGTGAGGTCACTGGGGTGGGCCCTAATCCACTGGACATGATCTATACGGAGGAAGAATCCCATGAAGACCGTGGAAAGGTACGAAGGAAGGCTAAGGGAAGTACGAAGACAGCATCCTACTGACGACTACATCTCAGACTGTCGGCCTGCTGAGTGGGAGAAAACAGCGCTCTGTTGTGCAGGCCAGTCACACTTGCATGCAGTTCTTCCCTCTGTGGGAACTGCAGGCCTAAGAAACCAATACAGCACGGCTGTTAAAAAAGGCTTCTCCAGATACCTGTATCCAGGTACGGTGGTACCTACTTGTACCTCAGCACTCTTTAAGCAGGGACAGAAATGTCATGAATTCAAGCCCAGTTTGGGCTACGTGAGTAGAAGACCACCCTCCACTACGTATTGAGACCCTATCTAAATAATAAGTTTATAAAAAGGGTGTGTGTGAGAGAGAGAGAAGGCTCTGTGGGAAAGGCACCTTCCGTCAAGCCTGACCACGAGTTCAATACTCTGGAACTTGTTCCTGCTAGTGGTCCTTTGACCTCTAAATGCCCAAAGCAGCACACACAAACACATTAAATAAATTAACATGAAATTAAAAAAACAATGCATGAAAAGTTCAGTACGGCACCGCAAAACCCATTTCAGGCTCTAGGGGGCGCCTGACCACAGCACCTCCACTTCTGGCAGGAGCAGAATCAGAATTGTTGAACTCTAGCAAGCAAGCCTGCCGCTTTCCTTCAGCCCAGGCGTCTGTCCCGGGAGGAGGGTGAGTAGATGGCACCCAGCCTTAGTGGAGGGCTGTGCCCAACACTCCAAACGAGTGTGGTGCAGGCAAGTGGCGTCTGCCGCAGCTGTGACACGGTGCCAAACACAGATTCCTGACTTGCGCCGTTCACTAAACCCGTTTCCATTAGAGAGATGAGCAGCAGCTGTGCCACCAGCAATGGGCACATCTGAAAGGGCCCCACCGGGAAAAATGGCTTCAACTAAGCCATTTACCAGGTCTCGGGAACTTCCTGTAGGCCAGGGCTAACCAGGCCAGGAAAGCACCCTCCCCTATCACACGGGCGGTTTTCTGCTGTGTGTCTTTAGGCCTGAGAGGACAAGACTAAGTGAATAAATAAAACATAGAGAAGCCAGAGTGCTAGCAAAATAATGGCCCAGTCTGTGCCACGCCCCTGCCCGCCGATGTGGTCCCCAGCTCTCATCCACAGCTGTCTCCAGGTGCTAGGCAGAGGACTGGGACCTCTAGCTCCTGGCCTCTGGCCCTGTTCTCTCTCTCTCTCTCTCTCTCTCTCTCTCTCTCTCTCTCTCTCTAGAATAAGTTCTCTAAGAATTTCGCTGGAGGCAGTCCCTTCTAGTAGGACAAAGGGGAAAGAAGAGGCTCTAATCAGATCACAAAGCCTATCTGGCTCCATCTCTAAGTGAGTGGAGAGGACGCTCCAGGCAGGGGCAAAGGTGGCTCGGGGAGGACCCAGGTGCTTGCTGTGGTGGGGACAGTAACTGGCTTTTTGAGTCTCATAGTATCTAGTTAAGGAACTTTTGTGCCAAAGGCTCGTCCCCTTCTACAGAAGCCACCCAAAGGGGCTGTAATGGCTAATATTGTCAACTGAAGTCTCTGTGTATATCCGTGAGGGAGTTCTACACTGGGCCAACTAGGTGAGAAGGCCTGCCATTCCATGGGCTGGGGTCCTGGACCAGATACAAAGAATGCAAGCTGAGCGCCAGCCTTCATTCATATCTCTCTCTCTCTCTCTCTCTCTCTCTCTCTCTCTCTCTCTCTCTCCTTCCTGACTGTGAACACAATATGACCTGCTGCCTCCCGCTCTGCCACCATGCCTTCCCTTTCATGGTGGGGTACACCCTCAAAGCTAAACCAAAATAAACCCTTGAAGGACCCCACCCATCCTGCTCTGGAGAAAGCGGGAGGGAACACTGTTGCAGCTAGGAGCTCCTGTGCTCTGCCACCACTGACGATCATGTGCCCTCTCAAGTCATACTTAGCTCCCTTGAGTGTCACATGACCTCAGTGAGTGCTGCTGGCCTTGCCCCAGCTTTGGAGTTCTTGGGTCAGGAGGTCTGAGTTTGGGTGCAGAAGTTGCGGTCTCAGTCAGGGATACACCTGGGACCCGCAGCTTCACAAGACCCCAGGCCCTCCACTCACCATGTTCAAGACAGACTGTCCTCTGTAAGCTGCCTGCTGTCTGGGACCCTCAGTCAGTGGCAAGCCCATCTTCCCTCTTCCTCTCTGTGGCTACCCCTGCCCCTGCCATGTTCTTGTACTGGGAAGTCAGACTCCGGGTGCCAACATTATGGTTGCTCACTGGAATGCTTCAGGGTCCTGCACCTCCCTGTTCCCATCCTCCCTGTCTCTGGCTGTGCAGTAACAACAGAAATGATGGTTTGGTCAAGATATACGGTCACTGTTGTCCCTGTCACTCACCATGCCCTATGCCTGGGTGACTCCCTCTAGGGTCACTCCTCTCCAGGTGGTCCCCTGCCTGGTGGCTGTATACACATTGTCAAGGATCTCCCCACCCCAGCTGAGAGTCACCCCCTGTTCAGGGTCACCCCTACCCCTGCCCCACCCCACTCACCGATGTAGTCAAAGCGTCCAGGAGCCAGTCGCTCCGGCAGGTGAGCAGAGTACAAGAAAGAGGCCAGGAGGGTCATGACCATGTGCTTCTGGTGATACAAGATGGCTTCATTTCTTGAATTCTCTCCTGGGAACAGGAAGAGCTGCAGGTGTTTGGAAAAAAACAAAACAGCCAGATCATAGGTCTTTCTCAGACCTACACCTCTCAGCACACCAGCACAAGCTCCTCAGGCCCAGGCTTCGCCTCCTTAGGATTGTGGCCTGATCAAGGCAAGTGTGGGGAGGAGGGGAAGGGAGATAGAAGAGAAGAGGCCCAATAGAGATGAGCAGTGGGCAGCGGTGGCACACACCTCTAATTCCAGCACTTGGGAGGCAGAGGCAGGCAGATCTCCAACTTCAAGACCAGCCTGGTTTACGGAGCAAGTTCCAGGACAGCCAGAGCTAAACAAACAAGAAGAAGAGGAAGAGGAAGAGGAAGAGGAAGAGGAAGAGGAAGAAGAAGAAGAAGAAGAAGAAGAAGAAGAAGAAGAAGAAGAAGAAGAAAAAGAAAAAAGAAGAAAGATCCTACTTTCTGAGGATAAAATGCAAGCACAGAGGAATGGTCCTATCTGCCCCGACTCCAGATGCAGAGCTACAGAACTGAGGCTCATAATGAAGGCGTCAAAGCTTAGAGGCAGCATAGCTCAGTGGGTAAAGTCCCTTGTCACCAAGCCTGATAACCTGAGTTCAAACTCCTGGACCCACGTAGTGAAAGGAGAGAACTGTCTCCCACCATTTTCCTCTGATGTCCATGCGCTTGCTGTGACTCACATGTGGCGGGGGATGGACATGTGCACACAAAAGAAATAAATGTGACAGGAAAAAAATCTTTCAAAACAAAAAAGGCTTGGAAGCCTTTCTGCATCATCAAAAAGAATCACCATTTGGCCTAGCTTGGTGACTCAAGCTTGAACTCACTCCCTAAGGCAGAAATACTGAAAGTTCAAGGCCCGTCTAGGCTATGGAGTTAGTTGAAGGGCAGCTTGAGTAACCTAGTGAGATCCTGTCTCAAAATCAATAAGGGGCTGGGGATATAGCTCTATGTGAGCCCTTGCCTAGCACACAGAAGACCTTAGACTCATTCCCAGCATCAACCACCCCTCAATATGACCACTATATTGCTTCAAGGTTAAGCAGAGGTTTTTTGTTTGTTTTATTAATTTTATAAATAACAGTAGTAGCTTCTCCTTACTAGAGGCACCAGGCCAGCCATCTCTATGCCTCAGACGGGACATGCTGCAGTCGGACAGCTTCTGCTAGTTAGTGAAGTGAAGGCTGGAATCTAGGCAGGGCCATTCTGGTACTGATGCAATCACCCCCTGCCCTATGCCCTATCATCTGGCACAGCCTCCAGATAGCATCGCACAGCATGAAATCTACGTGTAACTGGGGACCGCTTTCAGCTGAAGTTCCCTGTGTGCCCCTGCACAAGCTCCCTCCAGGAACCAGCGAGAGCTCTTAGTTGCATTCCCATCCCCAGCTCTCCTGTAGACCCACTCAGGGAAATACAGGCAAAACCAGTGCCTGTAAAACTCTTCCCTACCCTGTAGACTCATCCCCTGCCACTTGGACCTCACACTGCCTCTGGGAGAAGTCTACGCACAAGGTAATGCTGATCCCTCTAAGATTCATTATACCCAGAAATCCTCATCAGCTCCTACGCAGAAGCAGATGTGAGTCTCATTCACAGATGAGGAAACCCAGGCTCAGAAAGGGTGTGTGTACTGCCCAAATCACACAACAGGTAACCATGGAGACTAGAATTTGAACTCGGGCCCATGTGTCCTGCAAGTGAGTCTCTTTCCTTCTTGTCCTGTTCTCCGACCTCAGCTCCCTGCCATTGTACTCTCGGCCTCACCCCCATCTATCCTTTTAAGACTTTCATCCCCGTCTTTTCCTTCAGCAACACCCTATATTACCGATAATATACAATCATGAATGTATTGGCCTTTTCCCATACCAATGATCACCAAACTCCAGGCTGTCTGCCTTGTGGTGGTGGTTTGAACAGGAATGGCCCCCAAAGACTCGTGTGTATGAATGCTCGGTCTTAGGGAGTGGCACCATTAGGAGGTGTGGCCTTGCTGGAGTAGATGTGGCCTTATTGGAGGAAATGGATCACTGTGGTGATGGACTTTAAGGTCTCATATGCTCAAGCTACACCCAGTGTGGCTCAAACTTCACTTCCTGTTGCCTGCAGATGAAGAGGTAGAACTCTCAGCTCCTTCTCCAGCACCATGTCTGCCTGCATGCTGCCATGTTCTACCATGGCAACAGTGGACTAAACCTCTGAACTGTACACCAGTGCCAATTAAATGTTTTTCTTTATAAGAGTTGCCGTGGTCAGGGTGTCTCTTCATAGCAATAGAAACCCTAACTAAGACACTTGCCCAGGTCTCTGTGGTTGTTCCTAAGGCCCTAGTCAGCTTGTCTGGCCTCTGTGTTCACACTATCTCTAACTGCAACACCCAAGTCTCGACTCCTATGGGTCCCCCTAAACCCACTGGGGTGTTATGACTCTCTCAGAGCTCAGAAGACAATGAAGCCCCTGGCATTGCTGACAGGAAGAGAAGAGATGTACGTACCCATGTCCTTACCCGGTAGAAGATAGGAAGCGAGTCCCAGGTGTAGGGGTAGGCAAAGGCGAGGACTCGGAGCAGCTTACAGAGCCGGGGCTTCTGGAGTTCAAGAAACCTGAAGTCAGGGAGGAAACAGAGGCTGTTCAGGAACTCACACATGAGCGCATGGGTCATCAACAAGCGTTTTTACATGGCCTCCTGTGGACCTCAGTTTCTCCACTAGCCTCTCTCATGCCTCCTACACTGCTGGAAACGACAGAACTTCAACAAGAAGGAGAAACTTGCTCTGAGAGCATGAAATGCAATGGGTGCAGCCCAAGATGGGGGGTGGGGGTGTCTTCAGGCAGAAACCTGCAAAGGTCAGAGGAGATTTAGCAGCAGAGAGGTTTTAGAAGGTCCCACCAAGACAGGAAGGGGCCACTCAAGCACAGACCCCAGATCACACTGTATACAGAAGCAGAACTCAATTACCTTTTGGACTATGCCACAACACTGGAAAGAAGGCAGTGGGCTGTGGTTTCATAGGGACACACCAGGCTCCAACACAGACTGGACACATCAGGACCATGCTGATATGGCAGGTTGCCTCTAAAGCTGTGTGTGACCTATCCTTCCCTCAAACGAGGCCCCCGGTACTAAACGTAGCTCGGAAAAGCAAACAAACCACTTCCTGTTTGATGGAGCTATGATGGAGCCGAGGGTCAAAGCAGGAGAAGCAGGCTCTGGGCGACGGTCCCAGAAGAAACTGAGAACAGACATAGTTAGGCTCGAGCCCAAGGTATCTGTCCCCCGAGTGTCACATCGTCCCTGTCTGCCTCTCATAGCCCCAGTCTCTGTCTTTCTTCCCCCAGGGGCCAAAGGAAACACATTGCCACAACCCCAGCAGAAGCTGTCCAATCGCAACCAGCCCCTTATGCTTCTGCCCTGTCCGGGACAGGCTCACTCCTAACGAGTGCTCCTTGTGGCCACTTACACAGGAAGAAAACCTGGCTCTGACTTTTCCTGCGACTTGAGACCACATGTCACCAGGCCTGAAAATGTACTTCCTCCGGGGGTAAACGAATCAGCCTCTCCAGCAACAAAGCTGAGTATACAGGGTGACAAAAAGAAGCAGAATAGGAGAAAAGAAAGCAACAGAGACAAAAACCAAACAAAAAATGCTCTTAACCACAGGAGACTAAAACCACTCCAAAGGTGCAATTCCACATCCAACCACAGGATGTCGCCACAGCCAGAGATTTCTGAAGGCCTTGGCCAGAGATGCCTCCAAAGCACCCAGCAATAGTTTCCAAAGCACAGATGGCTTTCCCACCCACGGATTGAGAGCTCTGTCCAGGAAGCAGTGCAGGAAACACTGGATTGGGGAAGAAGCCTCCCTTAAGATCAGAGTCAATAAATCTTGGCAACTGAAATGCCAAAACTAATGGTTAATGCAAGCAGTTAATTGGAAGTTATTCAATTGCTAAAGTACACAGTTGTGTGTGTGTGTTGTCTTCTATTGTGTGTGGGTTTTATTCTAGTTTGGAGACTCACAGGAAGGGGAACACTTTCATATGCCTGACTCTAGCCCTGGCAGCACCTCTGCCATCTGGCTGGGGTGTCACAGCCTCCAGAACTTCGTCTGCTGAACCACTGCCCCAGCTCTGACCCCGGTCCTTTTGAAGCTGACGTTTATCACTCTGCATACTGAGGGATTATCCCTCTGGCCCAGATTACTTTGTGATGCTCACCATACTGACCTCAGTGACTTTGCAAAACAAAATTTTTGGATGAAAGCTAGGAGAGGTGGTGGCTGCCTGTACCAGAGCAGGGGGTAGGCTACGTAATGAGTATCAGAGCAGCCAGGGCTGGACAGTGGGACCGGCTATCAAAACACTAAACCAAACAAAACTCGATAGCCGGACTGGCTTGCTGAAAGGACAATCTATGGTGACAGGAGGCATGAGGCAAAGAAAGCAAGGACAGCTCGCTGGCTGCCAGCTGAGGGCAGGGTCAAGAAGGGATCGTTTTGGGGCACTGACTATCCTTCACAAAGCAAAGCGCTGAGCTCCCCTCTCAAGTGCGACAGCATGAGAGGACCCCCCACATAGCTACTGGTAACATAGCTCAAAGGTCTTGTGGAGAGGAAGCTGAGCCCAAAAAGAGCAGCCCAGGAGGTCACTGTTCCTAAGGAGCCAAGAGTGGTCCTCTGAGAGAGCACTACACTTCCGAGCTGGCCCTCGGGCCCTCTCTAGCCATCCTCCCTTCCACCCTCCAGTGCGCTGCTGCTGTTCCTGGGCCCTCCACTCCCACACACTACCATCCTTGCCCGGGTTGTTTGCTCTGCCCCAAAGGCCCTCCCTTATCTCCAGCTACAGGGCTGTCACTGGCTCACTCTCAGTCCTAAGCCAACCTCTCAAGGCCCTGTGTATCCAAGTGTATGTCACGGACATGGACTGCTTCCCCTGTTCTCTGTTCTGCTTCACAGAGCAATGAAAGTGCCCTTTCAGACTCTTTGGGGTGTGTGTGTGTGTGTGTGTGTTGGAGAGAGAGAGAGAGAGAGAGAGAGAGAGAGAGAGTGCATTCTGCCTTTCCTGCATCTACCTGGCCCTCTCTTTAGGCAAGACCTCACTCTGCTAGGGGTGGCAAATTTTCACATGGGTCCCCAGAGCCCAGGCAGCCTTTGAGGAACACTGGTCAGGTGAGGGGGAACGATAGCCCCAGATGTGCTCTCTGGATCATCAAAAACAAATTGTGTCATAGTCAAGGAGAGAAGTTCCAAAACTTGGGGGCACAAAACATTCCTGGGTCTGTGCCAAACACCATCCAAATACACCAGGCTTGCTGAATCCACAACACCCAACACTGAGCCTGAATGGTCAAGGAGGACTCTGAGCTAGCAGAAAGCAATATACCCTGGTGGCTAACAGGTGGTCGGTCAGGAGCTTTCAAAAACTCAATTAACTTAAAAGGCAGCAAATGTCCTCATGCGCTGCACTGTGAGCCCCTGGGAAATCAGCTTTGTCCTATTAATCATAGGGATTGTATCTTTCACACCATGAGCTGCCCCAACCCCCACTACCCACAGTGTTTGTCTCCTCCGATCCCAGTTCTAAATACCAAAGCCACAAGGTGCTTAGAAACCAACTACAGGGCAGTAACGGACCCAAAGACCAGATTCAGGGGTGTCCAGGCCTACCTAGGAGCTCAGGCAGCCAGAGGAAAGATCGCTCAGGTACATTGCATCTCTGTGCTGTAAACATGGCTCTTACCGTGCTTGCACATTGATTCATCCAAGATGGGGACCCAACCCCTCTCCACCATCAGTGGTACCCTAGATTTCCATCCTGGTGCAAAGGTTGTATCCCACACAACTTAACTCCTCCTGGAATTAGGACATAGCAACCCAGGACAAGGGATTTTCTTTCCTGGCTCTACAGATGGATTCAAGCCCTGCCCAGCTGTCAGGGAATTCTGTGATTTCCACAAAGATAAGAGAGACCCTTCCCATCCCCAACCATACAAAATCCAGGGTGGACACAATGCAAGGCGCTTTCACCCCCAGGGGACAAACCCCATCTGCCTCATACCCTTCTCAAATATCCTGGAAAATGGAGGGCAAGCTGGGGTGAAACTTTCTAATGTACAAAAACCTATCCTCCCACGTTTAAAAAACAAAAACCAGTTTGGCAGTTTCCCCCGAAACCTGGGTGTCACCCAGAGGAAACAAACCATAACCATTCCAAAAAAGAACCCCCTACTCTGCCTGCTTCTCCCTGGAGGGGGAATAGTGCAGTTGGAGGTACAGGGAACACACATGCAACCCAGGTGCCTCTCCTGACTTGCCTCTTCTGGCATGGTGGTACTATCTAGATGGGACTGTCACCTGACCATAATCATCTGGAAGGTTTCCTAAGCGACCCAGGGAGCCTGTGATTTCAGGCAATTCACTCTTGCAAAGAACAGTTTCAACTAGCACAGCCATCCCCATGACAACACTGCTCAGGCTCCACCCCACAGAGTCTTACTTGAAAGGAAAAAGGATAGCAGGATTAGAGGTGGGGAGCTGGCTGTGACTTGTGGCCACTTCGGAATACTCTTTATCCACCATCACAGGTACCTAGCTATAAGGCATCCCCCACCATCACAGGTACCTAGCGATGATGCATCTCCCACCATCACAGGTACCTAGCGATGATGCATCCCCCACCACCACAGGTACCTAGGGATGAGGCATCCCCCACCATCACAGGTACCTAGCAATGAGGCATCCCCCACCATCACAGGTACCTAGCGATGACGCATCCCCCACCATCACAGGTACCTAGCGATGACGCATCCCCCACCATCACAGGTACCTAGCGATGACGCATCCCCCACCATCACAGGTACCTAGCAATGACGCATCCCCCATCACAGGTATCTAGCGACAACATGTCCCCCATCACTCTGAGTGAAGGACTACCTGACTATGAGGACCCCTCTCTGCCAGGCTTGAGCCCTAACGGAGGGTGTGTGTCATCCTGGGTACATGACCTACATCTTCTATCCAGAAGGGAGCAGTGTGGACCCCACTGTACAGGTGAACAAGTTGAAGTTCAAGGAAGACACATGGTGACTTGCCTAAGCAGTAAAGCCAGCTATAAAATTTAAAAAAATTGTAGTGTAGGAACACTCTTGTTTAAGTTACAGAGAATTTCAGAGCATCGGGTCATAGGTGGGCTTTTCCAAAGGGTAGAGGGACTACCCAAGGGATATCCAGGCATGGAGATGAATCTTGAATGGGGGCAGGCTGATGCAGAAGTTTCTAGATTTGATTAACTAAAGACTCACCCTAACTGTGGGTGACATCATACTGTAAACTGGGGTCTTGAAGTGAAGGAAAAGGATCAAGCTAGCTGGCGGCAACATCCATCCCCCTGCTTCCTGACTGCAAACGCAATGTGACCAGCTGCCTTCAGCCCTGGCTGCCATGACTTCCTGCCTTGATGGACTATACCCTCCAACTGTGAGCCAGAGAAGACCCTTCTTCCTTTCTGTTGCTTTTGTCAGTAGCAATGAGTAAAGTAACCAGTACATCAGGTAACAGGGGTTCTACCTGGAGCCAGGCTCCTAGAGCCTTCTCTATTGGGCGTTTCCTATGGGGACGGATGCTAGGTCCTCCCCGGCGTCCCACACAAGATCATAGTGCCCGGTACCTGGAGTAGCAGGAGAGACCAGTGCTGAGAATGGTGTTCAGCACGGCCAGGGCCACGTAGCATTCATGGAAGGTACTGCAGATCAGTGCATCAGGGAACGTGTATGCAGAGTAGGCGATGGCGGAGCCTGCAGAAGAAACAGCAGCCTTGAGACCCAGGCAGAGCCACAGCACCACGGGGACTCCTGGGAAAGGCGACCTTAGCCTTCATCTTCTGCACAGAATCCTGAGCTAGCCTGCCTCTCTGCCTTCTCCGAATATCCTCTTGCCTCTCTGTCCACTCAAAATCTATAAGGTTATGTCCTTGTTAGAGGTGTGTGTGTGTGTGTGTGTGTGTGTGTGTGTGTGTATACTCATTCTGTCTTTACAATCCTGTCCCATGGAAAGCTTACACTTATTTTATAGAAGCACAGGAGACAGCCTGGTGGTAGTCACCTAAAGACCACAGCCTGGTGGTAGTCACCTAAAGACCACAGCCTGATGTTTGTCACCTGAAGGGACCACATCTGGTGGTTGTCACCTGTAGTCCCAGTGCTGGGAGGCAGCAAGAGATGGGCCCCTGGGGTCATCAGCCAGGCATCCTAGCCTAATCAGTGACTCTCAGGCCAGTGAGATACTTCGTCTCTAAAAGCGCCACCTGAGGTCCCCTCCCCTCCCCTCCACACACATGTAAACAAACCCAAGTGCTGACAGAGAGGCCTGAGCATCACCTTCCTGAAACTGTTCAGAATTCCTGTGGGCGTTCACCCAGGAACTCAGCTCCAGGAGACCAGGGACCCCTTCTCCAGACCTGATTCTCAGGGAGATGTCTGGACCAAGATGTTTGTTCCACTGATGCTGACTGGAGCTAAGGTGTGCACCAAGCATTGCACACTAGATAAAGGGGCTCAAACCTGCCCGAAAATATAGCAGAAAGCAAAGCTGACCTGAGCCTAGGGGTTCCTGTGGGGGATGGGTGTTTGAGATGGGCCAAGGAGCAGGTAAAGGAGACCACTGTCAATCACAGCAATAGCTAACCCTGTGAGATAGACACAGAATCAAAGCATTTGAATTTGTTCATAACCCTGCTACATCTGCTCAAGAGGACAAGGCTTAGAAAAGCTAAGAGATTGGTCTAAGACTGAATTTGGAACAGGTGGCACAAGGTCAGGATCTAAATCTAAGTGCTGTGTCAAAATGTGTATGAGAGGGGCCTGAGAGACCTGGTTCAGTTTCCAGCATCCATGTCGGGAAGCTCACAACCGCCGGTAACTCCAGCTCCAGAGGACCTGCTGGCCTCCACTGGCACCCCCACATGTGGCACACAGACAAACAGAAATAAAAATAAATCCATTTTAAAGAGGTGCGTGTCGGGGACTCAGCACACAGACAAACAGAAATAAAAATAAATCCATTTTAAAGAGGTGCGTGTCGGGGACTCCGCACACAGCTGGCTGAGAAGGACTTCTCAAAATGCTTGTTTGTATTAGAATCCCCAGGGAGCAGCCGAGGATGTAGCTCAGTTGGTAGAAGGCTTGCCTGACATGCACACAGCTGAGCCCCACTCCCAGCACTGTCTAAATCGACAGTGGTGGCACATGCTTGTTTTCAAAGTTCTTAGAAAAAGAGGACGGGAGGGTCAGGAGTCTAGGTCATCCTTGGCTACACAGCAAGTTCAAGGCTCTGTTTCAAAAAAGAAGGGGAAGGGGAGGAGAGGAGAGAGAGACATACACACACACACACAGAGAGAGAGAGAGAGAGAGAGAGAGAGAGAGAGAGAGAGAGAGAGAGAGGTCGAAGATTTGGACCTTATCCCAGGTACTAAGGAGTCTGAAAGCCTTCTAGTGGGAGGGGACCTGGCAAGAGATGAGGCAGGAACTTCCCAGGTAACGTGGTGGAGCTGAAAGGCAGAGCCCTAAGAAGCTCCAGGCCTGAGTCAAGCTGACTGAGGGTTCATGGGACAGCCTGAGCTTGACAGCTGATTAGATAGAACGGGGAGTAGAGGTGGGAGGAGGAGCCGGAGCTTATTAGTTCAGACTTGAGCAAAGCAAGAGGTGGCACCCCTAGCCAGGGACCCGAGAGAAAGAACAGGCTTCAGATCCAGTGTTTAAAGGTAAGGTTTAGGAGTCTCTTGTCCAGAGATGTTAGGGATGGGGGGCTGCTCCTGGGCATGCTAGACAAAAGGACCCATAGTTAATCCTGAGTTACTGAGAATTCTGAGTGTGCCCAGGTATGGGGTAGAGGGAAGAAAGGAACCAGAAAAGACTGAGAATAGGGATGTTGGAGAGTGACATGAAGGGACTGGGACCATGGCAACCAGTTTTAATGACTGGAGAGAACTAGACAATGGAGCATTGAGAAGTGTGTTTGTGAGTGTGTGTGTGTGTGAGAGAGAGAGGGGGGGGCAGGTGTTCCCCACTTGTGAGGGAAGAGAAAAGAGAAAGAAAGATGAGGGTAGCCTCCTCCTGGACAAATTCATGCAAAAGCAGATACAGTGACTGCCTTTCCCAGCTAGAGCGGGGCTGGGATGGAGGAAGAAGCCAGAACCAGCATCCTAAGGGATGGATGATAACGGTGTGGAGGAGAGAAGCTTCCTAGCCAGAAAAACAAGTCAACGAGCATGGGGCAGCAGCACCCACTCACCAACAGTTCCCCACTACTTCAGTGCTTTGGAAAGTTGACGCCTCTAAGCCTCTGGGCAAAGGTGGTCTGTGACTCCATCCTCCTTTCTCACTAGGCAGACCAGGTCCCAGCCCTGATGTGCTGGGGTCAGCCCATGGTGGCCAATGAGAGCCAAACTGTGAACATTTCAGAGTCCTTGCAAGCCTGTGGTTAATTCCTAACACTAAAAGTTACAATTAAATAAATCACAGTAACCAAAGTCCTAAGTACTTAGCACAGGGACCTGTGTGGTGGAGTTACTTTGTAGTGAGGTTGCTCCTAAGCTTCGATGCCACTCAGAGAACAGGAAGGGAGACAAGGCAGGGACGTTTACACCATAGAATTGGCAAACATGCCAGTGAGGGTATATCCACAGGCAGCACACGTATGAACAAGCTTCTTACAGAGCCCCTGGACAGGGCTTCTGCATCTTCATGACTTTGCTAAAACCCTAAATAAAACCCATCAAATCTCCTGGGAAACAGGTGACACTCTAGGGAGGAGGGGACGGAAGGGCAAGGGCCTCACGTACCCAGGCTGAAGAGGTTGACAGCACCATAGTCCAGAAAGTAGCAGATATGCCGGGCGTTCTTGGACATAGAGCTGAAGGTGTGTGCACAGCTGGATGCAAGGGGGTACACACAGCTGGTGCACATGTACACGAGCATAGGCCACGAGTAGCTGTCATTCTGGATGTCTGTCATATACAGTGCAGTCACGAACCTCCACACAAAGAACCTGGAACAGAATGTGCACCCGCTCAGTCCCCTCTGGACTGTTGGCTGCCTCCCACCCCCACTGGGAGACGGCCCGTCCAGTGACTCTTCACTAAAATGAAACGGCATGCCACTAGAGAAGCCTCTGTGCTTGAAGCAGTCAGTTAGGAAGTAGGGTAAAAAGACAGTCCTTAGGGATAGGATCCTTCCTATAACACCTTGCCCAAGATATTCTCCAGTCTCAGCTTACATACCCCTAAGAATGAAGGTCTCGTCCCCTCTTACGTTAGCTCTGAGTATTGGGAAGACCATCCTAAGTCACATGTACCTACACGTGTACCTACATTGGCCTACAACTCTATGTGTGTTTTGCCTACATAACACCTCCCTTTCACAAACCACAGCTGGAGAGCTAGGTGAAGAGCTAGGTGGCTTTCCCACAATGTCCATCAAGGAAAGGGACTCTACACATCTCTTCACCCAGTACCTGAAGGAGAGCCATAAAATCTTTCTGGCTACCTGCTTTCTCCTATGGTCTAGCAGAGGTGGCACTTAGGCTGTTTGCTGTTCCTCCAAAATTTTCCTTTCTTCTCAACAACAGATTCTTCCTCGTCCTATTTGCTTGGGGTATCCTAGCGCAGGTTTCCCTGGGCTCTCCAGAATGCTCTGTGCTGTCAAGGTGGATGACCCGAGCGCCTGGCTTAGCTTTGGGAATTGTGAGCAGTGTAGACGACTCAGCTGTGCATGGACCTCAAGATATACAAACAATGGAAGGCATAACATAGTTGCACAAATTTTAAAATGGTCTAAACAGATAATGTGATCTTCAAGGGAGATGGGCAACGGGAAGACCATGGGAGAAGAGACAGGTGGCCGGGCGCACATGCCACAGTCAAGGCTGCCTGGGAAAGCTCTGTAGGGCACACAGAAACAAGTGGCCCCAGCAGCTCCAGGGAGGAGAACGGGGAGCAGGGGAACAGCCTGGATCTAGTCCCTTGGGGGGTGGCCTTCAATTTGTCAGCATGTCAAATTGAAACAGGCTGGGCCCCAAAGTCACGCTCTTTCTGCCTCAACTTTCCAAATCCTGGGATTACAGGCATGTATAACCATGTTCAGAAGGCATAAAGTCTTTCAATTTTTTTGTATTTATCAGTGTGGTGTGTTTGTGTATGAATGCTTATCACATATATAGAGGCCAGGGAACAACTTTGTGGAGTCTTTTTTGTTTCTTTCTGCCTTGACATAGGTTCTGGAGATCACACTCAGGCTGCCGGGCTGGCTTGTCAATTGCCGTCACTCATTGGCCCATCTTGCCAGTCTCAGTCTACGTAAGCAAAGATTTAATGTGGCTAACGGCCTTCTCGAGCTACTAGACCTTGCTGACACTGGCCGGACGGCAGGCCGCAGGGCGGTCAAGCTTCTCTACAGATCACCTCACTTCACCCCAAGACTGTGTCGCCTTTCTCCCCTCCTGTTAGTTTCTGGATCCCCACTCTATCTTCTGACATCTATAGAGTAGTATATTATTTGTATTTTAAAAAATAAATCAACCTGAAAACCAAAAAAGCAAGGCAGCTGAGCCCCTAGAGAACTCTTAGCTCCACCAAGGCTGGGCAACCACAAACTAGACTAAGCCTCTCTCTCCCCCCGCATTTTATATTCCCTCTAGTGCTGGGATTAGAGGCATGATTCCCTAGTACTAGGATTAAAGGTGTGAGCAACCACCACCTGGATTTGTTTCTGCATTGATTTTGTGTAGCTCAGGGTGGCCTTGAACTCACAGAGATTCACCTCCCTCTGTCTCCCAAATCCTGGGATTAAAGGTGTGTGTCACCATTTCCTGACCTCTGGTGGCTTTAGAGTTGCTTCTAGTCTTCAGGCAAGACTTATTTATTAAAATACAAGTAATACACCACCACACATCTAGTTGGGCTAGCTGTTCCAGGCTAATCACAGGGACCTTCCTGGGGCTCACGTCTGCTTGCCACACTCAGGGACTCTCCACCTCGCTCAGCTTCTCAGAATGACTCAAAGGATTTGTCCAGACCTGGCCTGGGTCATCATCTGTGTGCTGTGTGGACAGTTTCCCCTCTCCAGCTGCACCTGCCATCATGTCAGCCCGCAGAGGTCTGAGTAGGACAGTGACCTGCTGACCACTGAGGTCCTCCTAGGCCTGACACATACCCAACCCTCCAGACCTCCACCTTCTGTTTCCTTAGAGTCAACCAAAATATCCCAGCGGGGAAGGCTGGCTTCTGCACTGAACACACACTGGCATTTCTCTTGTCCTTATTGACTGAACTGTGAAACAACCTTTGGCATAGTTATTTACTCGGCCTTGGGTATTTTAAGGAATCTGGAGATGATTTAAAGGACATGGGAAGATGTGCAGAGAGATATGTAAATATGGTGCTACCTGCCACACAGAGAACTTACAGGTTCTGGCATCTTTAGGGGACCCTGGGACCAATCCCCACAGATACTCGGAGAGCTGCACCATGGTGTGGAGAGGTGACCCTGTCTCCATTTCCAGAACCTTTGCTCGAGGTGTGGAAAGTTGATCTTCACCCCACCTTCCTCAGCAAGGAGCCTCCTTAGCCTTCCTGGAAACCCCATTCTGCACCCTTACTTCCCAGAGCTTGGCTCCTACTTGGCTCCATTAAAGTTGACCAACGATACATGGCTGCTAGAGTCCCCAGATAATTACAAGCACCCACAACCGTGCCTATGTATTTTTTACAGAGAGGGTCTTATGTAGCCCAGGCTGGCCTCAAACTCACTACTAGCAGAAGATGACCTTGAACTCTTCCTGCCTCTTCCTGCAGAGTCCTGAGGAGGGTGAGGCTTCCAGGCTTGGTTCACGCAGTGCCATGCAGTACTTGGGATTGACAACAGAACTTGCCGCACACACACTACAACCCGAGCTACATCTCCAGCTCCTGCCTCTTTGTCTTTATCAGGGTCTTCTCTCAGTCCTCACAGCACCCCCAAGGCACAGACAGAGGATCATGCCTGCTCTACAGGCAGAAAATGCCTGGCTCAGAGAGATTAAGTGACTTGCTCAAGTTAGTGACATTTTAATAAAGACTTCTCAAAGACCAGCAAAGCCTGTAAGACTGAAAGAGATGAAGATAAATGCTACCCAGTCAATAGAAACCCTCGAATCCTATGGCAGTCCACAGCCTGGTGCTTAGTCCATGACAGTCCTGGCTCCTTCCCCCATCATCCATGCACCTGTATCCACCGGGGACCCCTAGCCCTAGCATAAAATCTCCCTGCCACCCAGCTGTGTTTTACAAAGTCTAGTCCCCAGGGATCCCGAATGAGAGGTTGTCCAGGGGGCCGAAGGTACCAGAAGGGTAGCAAGTGCGTCCAGATGTTGAGAGTCTCATTGGTCATTTGGAAAAGGCTGAGGATACAGGCAGTGGCGGAACTCTGTGGGTGTCGGTAGCCAAAGAGGATGCCCTGCTCATGGAACACCTGTGGAGGGAAGACAAGGGAGGGGCAAGGAGGTGAGACAAAGGGAGGGGTGGCTCTCGCTAACATCAACTTTCCTGGATGACTGAGTAGTTCCTTGGCCTGGTCCTCTGCCTCCCTGCCTTTGTCCACTCTCTCCCCCAGGAGCTTCTAAGAACCCTGTCCTCCAAGCTGTCCCTAGCCAGTTGGCATGTAAGGTCCAGACTGGCTTTGGGAGTGGAGTCTGGCTCTGCCTTCCCGGCTATGCTTACCCTTGGCATGAATGTTGTCTAAGAGTCCGTGTTTGCACTTTGCCTAAGGCCAGTGGCCTGGTCTTCAGATGTCTTCGTGGTTGGCTCTCATGTATGCTGTCTGCCTGAGTCAGCCTGCCCTGGATGTCAGAGGCTGGTGGGGCAATCTCTGCGGTAGAGCCTCCCAGTGGGATGAGGCATCCACAGGGACTTCATAAAGGCCTTTTGATGATGAGGCCGATGATGATGCCAGAGCCTGGACTGTGGGAAGGGGAGGCTGGCCACAGCAGGATCACTGAGCCACAGTCCCCAAGAGACCACCGGTAAGCACCACTTTTTCTTCCCCCAGCACCTCCGGTAAGAAACTTAGACTGGCTAGGTAAGATGTGGCTACTGACTTGTCTGAAGTGTTGTATTATATCCATTAAAATGGTAACCAAAGGTCTAGGAGATGGTTCAGTGGGTGAAGTGGTAATCATGAGGACGTGAGTTTGGATTTCGAGTGCCAGTGTGAGGTACCAAGCACAGGAAGCAGCGAGGGCCTGTAACCCCAATGCTGGCGAGGTGGAGACAAGGATCCCTGGGGTTTGCTGGCCAGCCACTCTATCGACTGGTGAGTATTGGGTTTAGGACAAGACCCTGTCTTATTAAAGAATTTGGTGGCAGCTGGGTATGGAAGTGCACGCCTCAAGAGGTAGAGTCAGGGAGAGCGCTGTGAGCTCAAGGCCAGCATGGTCTAAGTAGCACACGCCAGGTCAGCCAAGGTTACATAGTGAGACCCCGCCTCAATAAATAAATGGATGGACAAGGTGGTGAAGCAACAAGGAAGCTGTCCAGTTTTAACTTCTGACACGCATGCGCTCATACACACAGTAACTGACAACACACCGGGGCACATGGGCCCCATCTCAGAGGGTAACATCAAGTGAAGAAAAGTGGAACTTAGTCCCGCCATGACTGGAGAGGCATACTCTCACAGTGGGGCGGGGATTGGGGAGAACACAGAAGAGGAAAGGGGTCCATCTGTCGAGCTACTCGGCTAGCAGGAAATGAATCTTCCTTTTTGTGTGAAACTTCTGGCATTTGGGGCCAGATGGTTCCTTGCTGTGGAAGACTGGCTTACTGTGTGCCTGGGCCATCTACCTGCTACCTGCTAGAAGCACTCTTAAGTACAAACCCCTTTCCATGCCAAGTTATGACAACCCCGATGCCTCCAAATACTGGGACAGTCTCTTGGAGGCAACATCTAATTCTGGCTAAGAACACTGATCTTGTTTGTTTTGTGACAAAGGCTCACTCTGTATAGCTCAGCTGACCTCAAACTCTTGGCAGCCCTCCTGCTTCAGCCTCTCAAACGCTGACATTACACGTGTAAGCCATCATGCCTGGTTAGAAGCATTGATTTCAATGGTTCAAAGACTGTCATAACCTTTGGAAGGTAAATTATACCTAATGGCTTCCTAGGTGAAGGCGCTTACTGCCAAGCCTGACGACCTGAGTTCAATTCCCAAACCCACACGGTGGGAGGAGAGAACTGACTCCTGCAAGTTGTCTTCTGATGTCCACACATGCATGCTAAACGCACACACATGCATACACACACACACACACACACACACACAGTATACAGGAGTAGGTTGACAGAGACAAATTATTACAGTGTTGCTTAGTATTTAGCCTGCATGATGGAGGTCAAGCCACACTTTCCCTTTGTTTCTTGAGGAAGGAGGGGACAGCGGCAGAGCCCCACCGACTCAGCATGCACGAAGTCTCGAGTTTTATCCACAGCACTGAAAACAAAAGCAAAGCACTGTGCTAAGCAGAGCTGCTTCCCCCTCTTGCTGTTCTAGTGAAGAGTTCCCACAGAACCATAAATAAAGTAAGCAAAAAGGCATGTTTGGAAGCCAGGCCTGGTGGCACATGCCTGAAATCTTAGCTCTTGGGAGGCTGAAGCAGGAGGATCTCTATGAGTTCAAGGCCAACCTGGTATATGGAGCAAGATTTCATCTCAAAAAGAAGCAGCACACTGATGCCCGTGGGTTTTATGAAACGGGACGGTGGCGGCCTGCAGGGTAGGTGTTACAATTTCCTTTCTCCTGCTGTGATAAAATACTCAGACCAAAAGCTACTCAGAAGAGGAAAGATTTATAATCCCAGATCACAGTCTGTCACTGAGGGAAGGCAAGGGGGAAACTCAAGGCAGGCCTGCTTGCCAGTCCACACATCATTAACTCCAATCAAGAGACTCACTTCACAGCCAGAAAATACAGCAGGAACCATGGAGGATGCTGCGTGCCGACTACCTTGCTCACAGGCTCAGGCTTCAGCTAGCTTTCTTACATAGCCCGGGATCACCTGCCCAGGAATGGTGCCCTCCTACATCAACTAACAGCCCCAAAAATCCCGCATAGACACGCCGGTGGGACAGTCTGATCTGGGCAGTTCCTCAGCTGGGGTTCACCTTCTCAGGCGACTCTAGGCTGTGCTAAGTGGACAGTTAAGACTAACCAGTGCAGCAGACATGTGGCTTTCTGGTGTGAGATAGAAATTTTCAGAAATGTTCAGTTCATTCCTGGGTAAACTGGTGAGACAGAGGGAAAGGGGCAGAGAAGCTGATTCATGGTCTCATTAGGAAATACAGTTTGGGGGCTGGAGGGATCGCTCATCAGATAACTGCACTTGCTGCTCTTGCACAAGACCTGGGTTCACTTTCAAGCACCCACACGGTGGCTTGTAACCGCATAACCCACCAGCTCCAGGGAATTGGTCACCCTGTTTTTGCTTCCTTGGGCACCACACAGCAATTTGACCGGGGCCAAGTGAGGTGGGTGTTGGGGATGGATAGGACCAAGATATATTGTGTACATGTGTTACATTGTCAATAAATAAAAGATGGTGTAAACTCATATATAAGAAATCAGTAAATATATACATATTTTTTTTAAATATTTATTTATTTATTATGTATACAATATTCTGTCTGTGTGTATGTCTACAGGCCAGAAGAGGGCACCAGACCTCATTCCAGATAGTTGTGAGCCACCATGTGGTTGCTGGGAATTGAACTCAGGACCTTTGGAAGAGCAGGCAATGCTCTTAACCACTGAGCCATCTCTCCAGACCCTATACATAATTTTTTAAAAAAGAAATACAATTTAAATTATGTTTGAGCTTTAACTTATGAAAGTGATTTGCTTCCGTTTTTAAAAAACAAATCATCTTAATATTTATCTTTTTGGGAAAGGATCTCATATAGCCCAGGCTGGCCTTGAGCTGGATACACAGAATAACTGTGAACTTCTGATCCTCCTGCCTTCACCTCCAGTGTTTTGAGATTATGGCACACACCACCACACCCTGCTTATGGAGTTCTGGAGATAAAACCTAGCACTTCTAGCAGACTAGGCAAGCGCTCTCCCGCCTGAGCCGCATCCCAGTGTGGTGAGTCCACAAGTATCATACAGTAAATGGACAGCTGACAGACCTATTGAACTATCCACGGTAAGTGTATGCATACACTCCACCTGGAGAATCCGTTTGCAGAGCTGCGGGGGGCATCTGTCCTTGGATAAGTCACTGCCAATTTTATAAAAGTCTTGTGAAATCATGGCATTTCTATCTCCCATATATCCCAGCAGTTTCTAAACCTGACTGTTCCTGTAGGGCGACTGGATGCCTCCCCCACACTGTGAAGCCTTGGTGTGAAAAGGATTCAGCCAAGTCCTTAATCTCAGAGGCAAAATCTATACAAAAATAGTCCCCCACAAAGTTTCTTTATTGACAGTCGTCACTGATAAGAAAGGACCTCACACAGGAGACTCAGGAAGGTGTGATCTACTGGTCTTCTGCTCTGACTTTACAGACTACTAATATTCTGTATTACCCTTTACGTTGGTAATCAACTAACAGACGATCATAGCCCAGGAAATAAACTGTTTATACAGGAAAAAGGCCTGAGTTGCTAAAACTAGCTTCAGAGAGAAAAAATTATCACCGGGGCACCCTGCTGGGGTCAAAAGCAAAGTTTCCAAAAGAGATTCCCTTTAACTCAACCAGCTAGATGCTAATGCAAATCAAGCCTGCAGGTTAGTGTAACCACCAAGGCTGTGTGTCCAGCCGCAGGGGACAGAGCCACGCCCCCTCTGAGACATAAGGTGCCACCTTGCCAGATCCACCGGTTTCTTGTGACTCTGAAATGCGTGCTTGATACTATTGCCACCACCTATGGGATTGTTAACTTGTCTGTCGGCCTATATAAACTGACAGTTTTGTAGAGATCACCCCTTTCTCTTACCCTTCCTTCTTTTGGACCCTCATGTCCAATGCCTTCCTTGCCCTTAGCCTTGTGCTTTGCCTTCGCCCTTGTGCCTTATGCCCCAGGCTTCTTCTTTTCCCTTATGCTCCTCTTACAAAGAAACATCCAAGAAAAAACATGCCTAACTCAGATCCCATTTCCAAACCAGTCTTCGCTTGTCGTAGAAGTCCTATTCTGAACCCCGAGGGAGTGCTGAGGCTGGTACTCAGTAACCTCCATATCCCGGCCCTTGCTCCAGTTTGGACTCACCCTTCTGCTGATGCACCTGGCTTACAGTAAACTGATGTGGGAGTCCCCTCTGTATGCTGTGAATACTATTGGTGAATAAAGAAACTGCCTTGGCCTGTTGATAGGGCAGAGCTTAGGTAGGCGTGGAAAACTAACTGAATGATGGGAGAAAGGAGGCAGAGCTTAGGTAGGCAGGGAAAACTAACTGAATGATGGGAGAAAGGAGGCGG